AATATCAACACTGTAGATACCGCGGGCCCAAGGTCGTCGGGCTTCATCCAACGGCTTCGTTTCTCCCTCAAAAAATTGTATGCAGTGTATCCACTTGGGAGTACGGTACAGACGTCACAAAGCAGCGCGTTGGCGGCCGAAGATTAGCCGTTGTGTTTCGTTGACGTGACCGTTGGGTAAAGGTCGTTGGAGGGCGATCACCACGTGATTGCAGCTGGCAACAGCAGGTCGTTCACAGCTGAGCCGCAGAGTTGCGCACCTTCTCCACTCGTCACAGCGCCAATTGTGCATTTCGGTGAGACAGGCCAGCCCCGATTGCGCTGGAACCTTCACTAATTACAGGCCGGAGCCCACCTGAGGCGGTGTCGGGGACGGGGCTGTAGCGATTTGCGAGGGCAAGCGAGAGTGAAATATTTCTACAATAGACATTCTCGGGCCCGTTGAGAAAGATCTAATTACAAAATCACCAACATGCTACACGCAGAATAGAATCAACACCCCTGTCAACCCGGAGATGAGGCTACATAGATCTTTTTGCACCTACCACTTGGACCAAGCGTCCTGTAGCAGACGAGTAAGTGAACGGACGGTATTTCAGGGCTGGAGCCGAGGGGGGAGGAGGAGAGCTGGGGAAAGTTTCGCGACAGCTTTGACAGGCACAACGTGGTCTTACAAAACTGCTGCTTTTGAAGTGAGTTGCATGTTGGATCTCGCGTTTTTTTTAACCCCTAGACGTGACATGCCGTGACCTGTCCCGCAAATTACAGCAGTGGTTGTATACCTACTCGCGGATTGGAACCGCCGAATCACAACTGCTTGGTACCAGTCGAACGCGACGGGGCTCGGAAAGAATGGGAATAGACAGCGACCTTGGCATTCGTTCGTGATGCAACCCATCATCCCTCGGTGAGATGTTCTAGGTCCCCGTCATCCCACACGCAACGCAACGAACCACTCTAATCAATAAGTTATCGCACAGCCCTCTTAGTGGAGAGACAAGGGGGACGGATTTAGCTCAGATACGTACAGTAGAACCTACTTTCGTCAAGTTGAGGAAACGGAATGGTGGCAAGAAGGGCAAGACCGTATGTCTTGGGGAGCGTACGGAGTACGATGCCCGGGGTAGAAGCATGTACTTTCAGAGTGGAAAGAGACCAGATAATGTAGACTACACGGTAATTTGGTGCGCCATTCCTCCTGACATCGTCCTGTTCCATGTCTTGCTGAGGCAGCATGGTCAGACGCCAGGAAACCACATGTGATGTGATTCACAACATGAAGTCGAGAAGGCCGGAAGTATCTTTTATCATGAAATTCTACTCAACCTCAGAGCTAGGCTGACCATTGTAGTGTACACCATTCCCATGCCGCGTATTGAAACGGCGCGTGATAGGACCGATCTGCCGGATGGTTGTAGCCGGGTACGTGTGACTGTGCGTCCAGCACTGGCCAGTCTGCTCTTTTCCTCCCCCCCCCCCCCAAAATCACCATGACATCTTCCTCACTGGATGTGGAAGATAGGGGCATCTTCCCAGAATAGGCCGACCAGGGGGTCCCTTCCTCTCCAACTCGCTAGCAGATGAGACTGCGCACCTACAGATACACCGCAAGCTGCTCCGTCCTCCTGACAGCACAATTGGCCAGGAAACAGACGCAGGGTAGCTTACAGTACGGATATCTGTGCAGCGGGACGGTGACGCGTCGGGTCTGTACATCTGGCCAGCTGGCTGTGCTTTCGTCTGCCATCAGTGCCCTTCCCGCGGGACGCGGTCCCCGCCCGTGCTGCCGGCGTGGCAGAGGCTATTCGATCTGTATGCTGTGTGTGTATGTGTGCATTGTTGGGCGGAGTGCGTGCTGTATGTGCAAACGGTGTGAGGACATTGCATAGCAGAATCTAGAGATCTGTACGGGCATGCAACAATGGAAGTGCCATATTTTCTTTTTCGATGGTAAGGAGCTTCTCACATCGAAGACATGTTAGATTGTCGGGTGTGTGAACCGGCTGGGCGTAGCATGTGTGTGTGTGTGTGGAAGGCCTCCTGGGCGAGGAGCAAGATAAGGTAGTGCAGGCAGGGCAAGGCATGGAAAGAAGCCGCAGGTACCTTCCCAGCTTCCCTCGACGCATATGCCCTGTTCATCACCCGCCCTGGCCCTGCTTCCCGCTCCCTTCTCTCCTCTGTTCTGTGTTCGGTATCCCTACTCGGGCGTGTTTGTCCCCTCTCCTGGCTCCCGTCCGTCCAGTCTTTGGATTGTTTTGCTGGCCGGCCTCTCTCAAGGTGTGAGGTCTGGATCCGGGTCTCGGGTGTGCTCTCGGGGTCCTGCCAGTGCCCGTACTGTATCCTCCCCTTCGATCCTCTTCTCAAATTGAGGTGGTTCCTTGAACCTGAACGACCCTAACCGGGGGGGTTTCCACGTCGGCATCAAATGTGCCCCCTCGTGTCGACTAGAATTGGCACTGGCACCGGCTGTCAATGCTACCAAGGTGGAGGAAAACGGGTGCCGTTCCCAGCTGTCGGCTCGTGTCCCAATCTTGTTGTGTCGTGTCTTGCTGGGGGGCAACATACTGCGTGACTGTATATGGAAGAGTGGAGAATGTTCACTGTGCCGGATGGCCTTGTTCGGACATGGGCCCCAGTCATTCTGTCCCCTCCCACCTGCGACCCCCCCGTCGTCCACTGTTTCCTGCCGCTGGTTCTGCTCGGGACTCCTGTCCACCTCGGTTTATCTAGTGGGAAATGCCCCGTCTTCTCCTTCATCCCATTGCCAAGTAGATCATTACGACAACGGCATCCCCAACATTCACAGCCTAAAAAAACTTCGCCCTTGCTTCTCTTCGACCGTCTTGACGACGCCCAATTTCTTTACTCTCGCTCCCACAAATTCAACTGCACTTCTGTGCTAGCATCAACTATTCCAACGCCCACATCGACGCGAACTGTTCGCATTCTCCCGTGACATCATCAAGGGGGTCGCTAATTCATCGCTCCTCCGAATCCCAGCATCACGAGGACACCGACGACGATCCCGAGAGCCTGCAGAATTCTCCCCTTCTTCAAATCCACCCACAAAGCTTGCCCACCCCCAACGTCCCCTTCAACACCGCCAAACTGTCTTCCCCAATCCTCCTCTCTCGCACCGTCTCGTACGACGCGGCCACCAATCCTCCGCGAAGTGGCAGCGGATCGTACAGAGACATGGCGGAACCTGGTGCCCGCAGAAGGAGATCTAGTAGCATCCTTCAGGTCCATTACGAGCCGCAAGAGACTCTCGAGCAGATAAGCGACCAAGCCGTGGTACCCAATCTCAATGCGAACTGGGTCAATGCCAAAGGTGAGCCCCGCGCCAAAGAGCTTCCCCCTTTCCTGTCGCGTGCCAGTCCGCTGCACTCAATTGGTGAAAGAGACAGCCGTCGCTGACAGCCACCATCATCAGGCGCCTGGACGATTCATTTCGTCCTCATCCTCTGCCTAAAGATATTCTACGACGTTATGCCGGGCGTGTCGCAGGAGACATCCTGGACTCTGACGAACATCTCGTACATGTTTGGTTCCTACATTATGTTCCATTACGTCCGCGGCGTGCCATTCGAATTCAACGGCGGCGCCTTCGACAACCTGAACATGTGGGAGCAGATCGATGATGGGGCGCAATACACTCCGGCCAAGAAGTTTTTGCTCAGTGTGCCGATCGTGCTGTTTCTCCTCAGCACACATTACACCCACTACGACCTGGCCTACTTCATCATCAACTTTCTGGCCGTGCTAGCAGTTGTCATTCCCAAGCTGCCTTTTGTATGTGGACCCCCTGCTGTATTATTCTTATGTGCAAGAGCTGATAATATACGCAGAGCCACCGGATGCGATTCGGCCTTTCTGATTCCGAATATTGAGCTGCATGACGACAAGGCGTTAGGGGCTAGGTTATGGATTTGTCGAGATTTAAAAGTATGGAGTCGAAAGAAGGCATACATAGCGAGCATGGTCCGACACGGAGTACACAAAGTTGAGCGTTGCAGGTTGCGCAGGTGTGAAAGGGGGATGATGAGGAGCTTGGAGGCAACGGGCACAAGACAATTCGACTGCGTCAAGAGATCCGCCAAGGTATCCCAATCGCCATGCTTCCGTCTTCGAGTCGGAATAGCGGGACGTGCCTCGCCGGGGCCAAGAAAATCATCAGATGTCGATAACCTTCTGGCCGACGGTACATTGGCACTGCAGAGTCATTTCACCGAGTTCAAAAAGCGAGTGGCGGGCGACCAGCGGTGGAAGACGTCGGATAGAGGTCCCGCCACAATATGTACTGGAGCGTTTTCATCAATTTCAAAGCACGGGTTCAAAGATTTGTTTTCTCATCCGTCCAGTGAGCATGGGTAGCATCGATCACCACGTGAAGAGCTTTGGCGTTGCGTACGCCAACACAAGTCCGGATCCGGCCGAGGGCACCTCGTTGCCCCCAGAGTATTGGAACCTGGCTGTCTCGACTTCATACGGCCCGAGGTGATCATTATCTGAGGCTCCTGCTGGCTTGCAAACCTTGACCTGCAGCCATCAATCTTGGAGGAGTTTGCCGTCGGGGTGGCTGAGGAATCAGGAGCTTTCTGCATAAACTTTACTGCTTCGGCAACCCTGAGGTTCTCGTTCTGCTCGTTCTGAACCCGGGTTGAGTCTAGACGTCGTCCAATCGTCGATTTTTCTTTTCTCCGAACTACCACTGATACGATGCTCAGCAAGCCATCCAGAATGGGAACCCATAGAGAAGCCGGACGGCCAGGCCATCAAGGGTACACGATCGTCAAGATAACCACCTCGGCAAGATGGGTATAAGTACAATGGACGAGAAAGCAAACCATAAGCATCTTCTCTGCCATCTCATCCCATTCATCAGTCACTCGCTCACAGTCATTGTGTAGGGAAGGCGCGAACCTTTCACTCATCCAGTCAATCATTTTCAACAGCCTCCTTTCCCCCAATCGTTCGCCCACGCGCCAACCCACCTACGCAATGAAGGTAACCATCGCCTGCATGGCGGCGCTCGCTGTGCTCTTCAACGATGCTCTGGCCCAAAGTCAGACCTTCTCCGACACTCTCCCGGACCCGGCGCTGCCCAGTCAGGACTTTCCCGCGCCCGAGGACGTCTTCGCGGTCTCGGGGACCTCAGCTCAGCCGCCCACTTCCCAGGTCGTTGTCACGCCATCCGGTCCGCCTTTGGGTACGCCAACCAGGGTCGTCACTGTGACGCAGCCTGGCACAACCATCGCCGTGAGCACGACTCCCACGTCCAAGAAGACCACAACAACTGGCACTGCGTCTGCAAAGACAACCTCATCTGGCACTACGTCTAAGAAGACCACGACAACTGGCAGCGCTACTACTAAGAAGCCAACAACTACTCCTTGCACTACTTCTAAGAAGCCCACGACAACCCCTTGCACTACTTCTAAGAAGCCAACAACCACTCCTTGCACTACTTCTAAGAAACCAACAACTACTCCTTGCACTACTTCTAAGAAGCCCACAACAACCCCTTGCACTACTTCTAAGAAGCCAACCACCACTCCTTGCACTACTTCTAAGAAACCAACAACCACTCCTTGCACTACTTCTAAGAAGCCCACGACAACCCCTTGCACTACTTCTAAGAAACCAACAACCACTCCTTGCACTACTTCTAAGAAGCCAACAACCACTCCTTGCACTACTTCTAAGAAACCAACAACCACTCCTTGCACTACTTCTAAGAAACCAACAACCACTCCTTGCACTACTTCTAAGAAGCCCACAACAACCCCGTGCAAGTCTTCTACCAAGAAGCCAACAACCACTCCTTGTGCTACTTCCAAGAAGCCTACCACCACCCCGTGCAAGTCTTCTACCAAGAAGCCCACCACAACCCCCTGTATCACCCACAAGAAGTCGACCATGCACAAGATCGTCACCTCTACCCGTTACCACAACACCACCCGAACTCACAAGACCTCTACCGTCGTCGTCGTATCCGTCTCCTCCCAGCCAGTCACTGTCTCTACTAAGCTTGCTGTTCCTGTATCCCCTACGGCTATGCCGTCCTACAACACCTCGGTAGCTAAACACCATCGTCCTCACGTTGCCCCGGTTCAGCCTCCCGCGCAGCCCCCCGCGCAGCCTCTTGCTCAACCTCCCGCTCAACCTCCTGCGCAGCCTCCTTCTCAACCTCCCGCTCAACCTCCCGCTCAACCTCCCGCTCAACCTCCTGCGCAGCCTCCCGCTCAACCTCCCGCCCAACCTCCTGCGCAGCCTCCTTCTCAACCTCCCGCTCAATCTCCCGCTCAACCTCCCGCTCAACCTCCCGCGCAACCTCCTGCGCAACCTCCTGCGCAACCTCCTGCGCAACCTCCTGCGCAACCTCCTGCGCAACCTCCTGCGCAACCTCCTGCGCAACCTCCTGCGCAACCTCCTTCTCAACCGCCCCCAGCCACTCCGAGCCGGCCTTCCACCGTTGTCACCGCGGCCGGCGACAGCATCAAGGCACCCTTGACCCTCGCCAGTGCTCTTCTCGTCGTCGTTGCCTTCTTTTAGGCGCTTCCGTCACAAAAGGCTCTTTTGAGGAGGCTTGTAGAAGATTAAAATTCCTCCTCAACGCATGAACAGCAAAGGGCAGACGATACCAAAGAGGCAATAAGCGATGCTCACTAAAGAGGCGGGCATCTCCTTTCTTTATGCAACCTTCGGATCCTGCTGTTCGGAAAGACGAAGCCTAGCAGGTCTTACTCTGTGTGATTAATAAACCGGCTGATGTATTAGATAGAGGGCGAGAGACGACGAAAAATGTATTGCGAGCTCCGGTGCGAGGATGATTTGAGGTCATAGGAAGAGAGAAGGGAGGTAGAGGGTAGCTAAGTCCGTCAGGTGATTTGATTATCCTGACATCCCCTGCCTCTCCCATACTCTCCCGCTCTTTCAGGTATCTCATCGCCAGCTTACTCCTGGTCGCTGTCATGTTCCGTAGACTTAAGGTCCACCCTAATAAAGAAAAAATTTGATTTTGCTTCCTCTCAGCAAGACATGCTGGGTCTTGAAATGCGGGAGATCGTAGTAGGAATAGACCATGTCTGATCATTGAGGTTTCCGTACATTTCTACATGTTCCGTCATCCGGAGAACGACGCCGAACGAGAGGTCTCTCGGGACTGGCCCCCTTTTCTAAAACACACAGGCCGGCCGCTGTTAGAGCGATGACCCGCGGCGGCGGTACGGAACACGCGTTCCGTCTCAACTTCGGTATCCGAAGCCGAGTGCCTCGGGCGGAGCTGCGAGGTCAGCCTCCCGCGTACACGCAACGCTGGCAGGCATGAGCCAAATTGGAAACCGCCGTTACACATGGCCGAAAGTTCGGGATACGAATGGCGGATACTGTAATTTTGGCCTCAGATCCTGTCATAGATAAAAGATAGACCCATGCCTACCCGCCATGTGGCCAGGTGGCTTATCCCTAATTGCCGAGCTAAGCTGGCCATTGACTTCGGTCGAAGATGTCATTCGCCAATGGATTTATCAGCACGCCGTAGGGAACATGGGGCAGGAAATGGGCATTTCTATTGGAGCTCTAGCGGAGTTATGTGCCTTTGTGGATATATAGCGTGGGCGAACGGCCGTGGATGGCGGGGTCGACGAGGAGAGAGCCCCAGCATCTTGCTCCGAGCGGGGCAGACGTGGGGGACGGGCGGCGATGGGAAGAGGGGTGTAAACGTTGACCCATGTTCCGGCCGGGTCTGTAACATGGCACTTGTCATTATGCCGGGCCGCGTTGGATGGGTTTATAAAACAAGACTCACGACTCGCGACAATTTAGTATCCCATTGTTGATATTTGTCATAGCTACACTTGTCCTCTTACCCAACTGCCGATATAGAGAGCCCCGAGTCCATACACCCTCACTCGATCCGTCCGCTTGTATGTCCCCTTTAACCATCATCTTCTCACCCACAACCACACTCACTCACCATTGCTGCCAATAGCCACGCCAAGATGAAGTCCTCCGCCCCGGTTCTTTACCCTAACGAGTCCGTCTCACAGAAGGTGACGGCCTACGCCGAGTCCCACTCGACGGACCTGCCCGCGCACATCGTCGCCTACCATGAGCACATCGAGACCACGCAGCCCGAGACGTCGATGCTGATGATCAGCAACTTCCAGGCGCAGAACCACATCTGGCTGGCCAAGCTAATTGGGGCCAAGAGAAGTGAGTCTTGCCGTAGCGAGCTGTCCTAGTTCCCCTTGGCGCTGGATTGCGAGTCGTCCGTCCGAGGAGCCGGGATCGATCTGCATTCCCCCCCCCCCCCCCCCCTGCCCACGCTTATTCTGCGGATCGAGAAACTGTCCCCCAACAGGACGTCTAAGGGGGAGGTTCTTGGTGGGAAAGGCTTGGAAAATACGAGTGATCCGGGACTCACTCTGTCTTTCCCCTCATCGTATCCGACCTCATTCGAGCCTCTGACACGACCCTGACAGTCCTCGAAATCGGCGTCTACGTTGGCTACTCGGGCATGATCTGGTCCCACGCCGTGGGGCCCGACGGCACCGTCACCGGGCTGGAGTTCAACGCCGACTACGCGAAGGAGGCCGAGGCCGCGTGGGCCGCCAACGGCATCAAGAACGCATCCGTCGTCGTCGGCGACGCGCTCGAGACGTAGGTTTCCTTGTTATCCCCGCCCCCTCCCCGCTCCCTTTTCTCATTCCCTCCTGTCAACTGCTGCTCCAGCTAGACAAGACGAAAAGCACAAATGAGAAAGTGATGCACGCCCCCCCGCCCCCCCCTCGGAGAGCTCACTAACGCGGGAAACCCCAGCCTGCCGGCCCTGAGCCCCTCGGAGCCGTACGACCTGATCTTTATCGACGCCCAGAAGTCGGGCTACCCGGCCTACCTCTCCACCATCCTCGCCGCCTCGCCCGCTTCGGGCGGGAAGGGCCGCCTCCTGCGGCCCGGCGGCCTCATCGTTGCGGACAACGTCCTGCGCCGCGGCATCGTCGCCGACGACTCGGACGAGAACCCGTGGGCCGTCGGGGATAAGGCCTACCGCGCGGCCTACGCGCGCTCCGAGGACGTCGACAAGCTGCGCGAGTTCAACGCCGCCGTGCACGACGAGCCGCGGCTGGACTCGTGGCTGATGCCGCTGTACGATGGCGTGCACCTCGCGCGGTTGGTGGATTAAGGAGGAGGAGAAGCCGGGTTGAGGGGATTCCAGTCGGCGTGCGAGGTCTAGACCAGAGGCGTGAAAAGGCTGCGTTGAGTGTAGAGGCAACACATGCGGGATTAGATGGGCGAGAAACGAGGGCGCGTTGATGTTCTCTAGATTCTTCTTCATAGATCATAAGTGGCGAAGTAGAACGTGATTTCAAACGCTCTGGAGAACACGTAGAGAGAGAAATAGATAACGGTCCAACCAAAGACGAGTTTCACGCATGGCTCAAACATGGTTTTTTCTTCTTCAAAATCAGGTAATTGTCAACGCCCTTCAACAAAATCAACGCCGGTTGATGCAAGACTCTCGGTCTTCTCTTCCTAGACGAGGACAGCTCGGCCTCCTCGACAAATCAACCGGCTGAGGACAGCTGTACAGGTGTTCAAGAAAGCCCCTCCTCCCTCGGCCACAAGTCGTTTGTTCACGAACAGCGACCTATGGACCGGGCCCGAGAATCTGGACCGCCCGGAACGAAACCACGTCGGCCAAGAGCACCGTCTTATAAGGCCATTGTTATACGAGTACAATAGTCAACAGCCTCACAGTTCCCCCAAACCAGCATCATGATGGCTGAAACTATGTCACAGAACAATGAATCCTTCCTTGGAATTGTTCTACGGAAATGCCTTTGGTTCCCTTATCTCGGAACACTTGTACTGCTCCTCCGTTCTTCTGCGGCCAGAACAGCACAGCGACATTGTCACTCGACAAAGGAGGCACTACTAGACAAAGGACGCGTCCCTCGTAACTCCTATACAACCTATTCTATATCACCAACAGGTCCCTGAATTTGTGTAAGAAATATGTCGGCACGTAACGCCCCCCCCAAAGAAGCCAGTTGTTCCATCTCTCAAACAACAAACCTTCCAATGCTGCCTTCTAATGCTGCCTTCTGTCGCCGGAACCATACATCGACCAATAAGCCCCCTATTTCCATAGCCGCCCAAGGACCAAGGTAAGGCCCCGGTCCCTCCCCCACGCGCCCATCGATGTGCCTCGCAGAACACATATACTACATCAACTGCGGCTGCTGGGAGGGCCGGCACATCCGCTGGCAGTGCCCGCGCGGCAGCCCCCGCGGCGCGGGCGCCTGCCCGGACGTCGAGTGCTCCGGCGTGTTCCGCAAATGGGGCCGTTGCCTCGTCTGCCAGCGGCGCCAGGCCCAGGAGCGGCGACAGCAGCAACATGTCTTCGTCACCGGTACTGACCACGGCAGCCATACCGCGGCGGCCCTCCTGCGTGAGCTGCTACTGTCAGGCCCTGGGCGGACCGGATCGTCTCTAACACCCTGATGATAAGATCCTAACCTCACTCGATGGCGGGCGCGCGACGAGGGACGTTGGGAGCAGGGCCCCACACGGACCAGTGGCATCGAGTGGCATCATCGATTCGACCGTCTGCGCGTCTGACGCCGATGCACGCGGAACCGGAGAGGTGGCGCTGAGACCGAAGAGGTGGGTACTCGACCGGTGCTACTGCTGCCCACGTCGGGCCGGGAGCCGCGAATGCTGTGGCAACGAGGACGTGGCCCCCAACGACTGGGCCCGTGGCCGAAACCGCCGGGATGGTAAGTCTTGTCATACGCAGCGCTCAATATCGGACGGTTGGCACGAAAGAAAGAGAGAAAGAAAGATAACGGGGGCCCGAATGCCTCCCCAAAGAAAGAAGCGTCGGTAGCGAAGAAGTCCTTTTGAAAAGAGAGGGGTCCCAACCCAAGGGGTAGGCTAACCGCAGAGACGGCATATGCAGAGTGTAGCACGTCGTGACAGATGGTCAACAGGCGTCTCCGAAGATAGGAATCCTACCTGCATCCGCCAGATACATGCATGCCATCCCACTATTGCTCTCAGCGGTGTCGTTCCACCGCCGTTTGTTCCACTGCTGTTGTTCCACCGCCGCCATCACAGCAGCAGAAGCAGCCCTGAGGGGCCCATATGTTTCACCAAGCCCAATATCTGGAGCCAAAACAGACGACACGCCGCAGCCCTGCAGCAACGTCTCTCCCACAAAGCAGACACAGTGACGCCTCTTGCCCACGCACCCTCTTCCCTCGTCTCTCCTCTGACCCAGCGACAGCAGGCGCCAAGACGGAGCACAAGACGGGCAGTTGCTCATTTTTCCGTGTGATTCCGGACGGTCAGCGTGCGTCGGCAAGCGAGGGGGGTTTCGAGGCATTTGCTTCCGGAAGTGTTCACACCACCGTGGGGGTCGGAGTTGAACCAAATGGAAAACAGAAGGCCATATCCCAATGACTCGCCTGAGCTGCCTGAGCGTCACAGCAGGGAAGCTCAAGCTGACAACGCGGCTTGCACTAGCTTCGGCATTAGTATAGATCGGAGGGCCACCGGGGCCTACAAGCCACGAATGCCGCACCTATCGCCATGGGTATATTAGGCAGAAGTCGGATTTGATTTGGGAACATAGGGGGGGGAGGCGGGAAAGCGCCGGTGAAGCATGATTGCTCTGCTGTAATACAGGCATGCTCGGGACCCGTGTCGTTGGCAATCCTTCGAAACCTTGTGTCCAATCTCACAAGGTTCCAGCGGAAGCTCTGGCCAAAGCGTTAGCTATATACAGCTCAGGAACCCTTTTTCGAAAGATTTCGTGTTGCCTTGCGGTTGGATAACATTGCAATCAGCGGCGTGCTGTTCGTGACGTAAGTGTGAATAGCTTGGCACCGCGATGATACCTTAGGTACAATGTCTTTGGTGCAGGTACAGACCGCAGTGTGCTGCCCAGGCGTTTTGTGCTAGTTCGATGAAATACTGCAACCCCCCCCAATTTGTTAGTTCACCATCTGAGTTCCAGTCGTTCCTAACCGCCGTAGTCATCATAGCAGAGTGGTGAGGTTTGGTGATAGTCTGATAATTTAGGGTGCCCTCTTGCGATTGTGTTCATTTCCGGTCTGAATATGCATGTTGTACCCAATGATTGCGATGATGATGTTTTGGGGAAACAGAACAAAGCCGTCGTACGAAGGGTGCATTAGCTTGTCATACCCACCGGGCAGCCCCGAAGACGAAGCTACTGATTGTGGCCTAGCGGTAGTGGCGATGCCCCAAAGTCACAATCGTCTTTGTCGCCACGAGGCACGGCTGCTGACCCCAGGGTTTTACTCGCGCCCGATCGTCTGTTCTTGCCCCGAGCGTCTGGATGAGGATCATTGACCAGCGGGAGATGCTCGTCCCTCGCTGCAGTGTATGGCGGCGTGACTTTGATGGGGATCAGCTCGCCAAGTCTGAAGAACGAAGGCGTTTGCGCCCAAACCGAACGAGCGGTCCGGCCGGTTTGCTGCCACTTGCAACCATTTTCAGGGTTGGTATACGGGGAAATGGATGCGCAGTAGCCACCAGTTGCTTGCGAGACATTCCGCGATGAGAGCCACGCCCCTCTGACTGTGGCATTGGAGATTCACTGGCTTTGCTTGGGCGGATCCGACGCCGAAACAGGCATTGGGTCAGGCCAAAGTCCTGGTCTGGTGGATGTAAGCATGTTTGGCTCTGCCGGTGCCCGCATGCGCCTCAGCAAACAATTCTTCTCGGGCTTCCTTCTCTTGAGGCGGCCAAAGACAAAATTACTGGAGCAAACGCCGTCATTAGGCTTGTGACTTTGTTCCCCTGACATCTCGGCGACACCCAACTGGCTCTATTCCGCTGCATACCACCCCGAAGCGGAAGGAAACCGCTTTCGCGGCCGCGGCTAGAGTCCAACCAACACCGACCAGCCAGAATAAGACATTCCCCATCCACCTACCTGTTTTCTGAGAACCTTCCACGCGGCGCTTACTCTGAAGCCACGAAGGAAGTTTTCACAAGCCGACAATGAGCCTTTGCGGGCTAGTTGGCTGGATGAAAGTGCCTGGTCCCCAGGCCCCAGGTCTTACATACTTACAGCAGCCTTATCACATACCTCGATGTCTGAGGCAGGCCTCCAGTTTGTGATAGGACAAGTGGACAGACGCAGCCGCGGTGCGGGGCCAGACCGTCGACCATCAGCCTCTGCTGCAGGAGGGCGGGTCGATTTGCCAGAAAAGCATTGCACAGATGCTTGTATTTATCTTGAAAGGAGTCACCTAAATTGGGAAACTTGTGAACGATGGATGAATGCTGTGACATGTCGAGGGCCTCCTAGACTAAGCGTTGGGACCCGAACATGGAGCAGGCGGCTTTCTCACAATACAGCGACTTTTGCTTGGATGTTTCTTGGCTACACCGGTCCTTCCATCATGCGATTGCAAGATGACGAAAGGGAGAGGAGGCGTTCGTTATCTCTTTGGCAGCTGCACTGGATCTGATGTTCGGCATTGGGTGCTGGCACTTGGGCCGCACATCCTAAGCCTCTGTTGCAAATAGCCAGACACCCTCTTCGGCAAGTACCTATGGACGTCAGAAACCGATCGCTGAGTAGTAAGCGGGCTATGCGCCTCTTGGTGGCCCCGGCGTGACCTAGGATGCTGGTAGAGACCGGTCTCCTTTGAAGCAGGCCATCCCTTGAATGAAAGCGAGCAAGCCAACGAGCCATATGTTGTCGCTAGACTCATAGTGCCCACTTGGGTCAGCCCAGTTTGTAGCGGATGTGGTACATCGTCATCTCATTTACGGGACGCTCGGTGGTGAGGAGCCCTGAGTTTAATGATACCAGTTTCCCGGAGAGTCCGGGGTCGAGTTAGCTGCACTTCCTGCCGTGCCGTTTTACTCGATTAGACCCAACCAGTGGAGATTTAGGGGTCGTATGTAGACTTGGGCAGCAGATGAATCGTGCCAAGAGCACGGAAGGACTCGCATATGCATTGTTTGGAGGGCCGAAGTGTTGTTTCTCCTTGTGGTGCAGCTCAATGTTCGCTTCATGGGCGTACCCGTTGGCGACTCAAAGTGAAGGGGCGTGTTGGCGTTTCCTGAAGCCACTTTGTCTGTGCGAGCCAACGATGGTGCGTCCATCGATGGGGTGGCTGTGGCAGTGGAAAGGGGATTCAGAGGGAAATGAGAGCTGACTGGAGCATAAAGGTCGATTGGGATTCGACAACCAGACGCCGGTGCTCGCAACGCAGCTCGAGCGCGATGGCATCAAGGCCCCTGGGCGCCAGACTGGCCGTCCCATGATCATCATCTGCTACAGCGGGAGGAAGCATTGGTACATACAGCTTACAAGCGGCCGACGAGATCGGAAAGTGGATACAGCTGAGGGAAACGGGGCCCCTGTCGCCTCAGATGCGGCATTTGCGGGAGCTGTCATCCTTGACTTCCACCCGATCTTGATCGAGAGGTCTGAGAACCGCGAGCCTACCTGGAATGGGCAACACAGCGGCAACTATGGCCGCTCGTTTCGTTTCGTTGCTCCGGCAAATCCTTGTACTACGTAGTAGTCGATTGCAGGCTGGCGGGGCTGGGAAACGATGCGGGCGCGATCGTGACGGACTCGAAGCGAGGGTTCCCAGTCTCAACGGGAAAGGTCCGAGGTAAACGAGGTGGGCAGAGAAAACGGAAAACAGAAAGGATGCCTCATCCAGCACGATGCGACCTTTGATCAGTTGGGACTGTATCGGACGCTGTGTACATACGCGGCGCAATCCGAATTCTGGACTTGTTGTGAGCGACCGATCTGCGTTCCCGTTCCAAGTGAGACCGGGCTTGCGGAAACCAAGGAGGATTGCGTGCTACAGGCTATAGCGTACCTGAGCATTAGATTTATTGTTTCTTTTCTCATTCCTGCACAACGGCAAGGGCTCCCGCAGTGGGGACTGGCTGTCAGAGAAAGACGAGACACGGATGGCATAATTGCTTTTGAAGTGTTTGGAAGGGAAGAAGGAACACTGGAACCCCAGCCGGTAGGTAGCATGATCGGGGTCGGGGGACTAGGAAAGAAGCCCCGTAGAGTTGATTGAACCGTCGACACAAGTGACTTCGTCTATTCGGAGAGCTGGGCCAGCATGCTATGTCATGTCTCATGACGCCAGCGCCCAGTAGGTAGAAGGCCCAAAGCACGACCTCGATGCAGACGTGTCAGGAACGGAAGGAACGAGGGGAGACTTTGCTCGTCTGTCTTGGATAGCTGTGAAAAAAACATGGTCGGACGGAAAGTATATTTCGGGTGTTTGTTACACCTTTTTTGTGTGTCAGAAACAACTATGAGGGCGGCGATGGCGTCGTCTCTTTGTCGATCGAGGTGGCGGGGAAAGCGCGACGAAGGACTTGTTGCTTACTTAATACACAGTGCCATTACTGGTATAGGAGCGTTGGTCGAGACACTGTGCCGTAGCAAGGCGCGTCGTGTGTGTGGATCTGCGCTGTTTCGTAGTTTCCTCCTTTTTGGACCAAGATGGGGAATATATGCAATATACTCCGTATGCTCCTGATGCTACACTGTCTGCCAACGTCGGGTTGCTTGGATCCCCTCTGCCCAACACTACGGGGCACTGCGAATGATGTGCTGGGCGGTTATACCCAAGTATCGGTGCTACCAGTACTACTGACCTACGAAAGTAGGTTCTTGGTGATTAAGGACCGGACCGGACCAGGCTGCTCAGGAATATCGGAGTGTAATATTCAACAAGTGGTACTATGGTATTACGGTTCGGACCATGGGTTCTCAATATGCTGGTCGTCTCCTTCCCGACCGAGACACACATACTCCGTATCCGGCACCTGTATCTCGTCAATACTCGTCGTGGAAGGAAGGCAGATAGATGTGCGGCGGTCGAGGAACCAGGGCCAGGGCCAGGGTCAGGATCATGGCTCCCTTTGTGTCTAATTAACCAACCATGCATCCACTTCGTTTGCGACTCTGCAACTACCTAGCGTACATCCTCGCAATCCGTGAACTAGGTCACCCTCTGCCGATTCGTTCGGCTCTTGAAAGCCGGAGAATTGTTGTCGTCCCCCTTTTTGGTCTCCGGGCCTTTCAAACAGCAGCCAACGAGTGCGTTTGCCCCCTTTTCCCCTGGCAGTTCGCCTCGTTTGCCCGAATGATGACAACCACTACACAACACAAAACACCACACCACCGTGGACGGGTGAGCCCAGTGACGGCCAACCCTGAACCGAAGCAGGTGTCAGGGCATTACGTCCTGTAGCAATTTGAGACTGGGAAACCGGATAGCCGTCTGGGAGCCGTTGTTTCGTCGCTAAAGGACCATTGACCCTCATCTAATCTGCCAGGTCCGTCGCAAAAGGGGGCCACCACGGGGCCAGGCGCTTAGCCCCACGGGCAGGGTTCTACCCGTTAAGTTTCGTTCATAATGGCTACAGAGCACAAAAGCAGATAGGTCACAAGCCACAGAAGAAGCGAGGCATAAAAACAAGCGCAGTGCGGGTCACCAGCGACTCAGGTACAACGTACAGGTAATTATCTACCTACCCTAGACCACCTAGGTGCTCATTGTATGTGAACTATCCGTAGGTAGGTGGTCTACTAGGTAGGTAGTGCAAAGGCAGCCAGCCGACGGTAGCGAAGCACGAGGCTCTTCCAGACTTGCCATAGCTTGGCTTGTGTGGCTCTCTCTCTCTCTCTCTCTCTCTCTCTCTCTCTCTCTTTTTCTTTCTTTTTTTTTTTGTTTTTTCTTATGTTCTTCCTCCAGCCCGCCTCTCCCCTTCCCTTCCCGGTCTCGCCCAGGGGACCGGTCCTCTTTTCGTCGCGCCGTCCTTGCTTCCAGTTAATTATCAATTAGGTATCGCCCATATGTCGCACGTTCCATTACCCTTTACATACGGATACTATGTACGATGTACATAGCAGTAGGTACGTCCCCCACAGTGCTAGAGAGGAGCTGTGGAGACGAGGTTTTTATTTGGGACACGCGCGGCGGCACTAGGAGTCTCTCTCATCCCCCAAGCCAAGGTGAGGGAGATAAATAATGGCCCCAGCTCCCAACAGCGATGTGGAGGTGCGGATACAGAGTGCTCGCCTCCTACAGGATCCACAGCATCTGGTTTACACTACTTATCCGTACTTAGGCAGTCTATGTACAGCATCTCCTGAGCACTGTGGCAATGGCGCGGGAGCTCGGGCCCTGCTTGTCTTTTTCTTGTACGGCTCCATTGCTCTTGTTCTTGCTGTCCGGCCGAGTGGTTTGGCTAGAATATACGTCATCTCGGGTACTATGTAGATGGGTAGGTGCCTGTACATGATGATTTGCATATCCGAAAGCAGGCCATCAGGACAATCGAATCTGTTCTCGGAGCTTCCTGCTGCCTCGCCATCCCAAACGTCGTCCGGATGCAAGTGGAAAGGCGTCCACCTGTTTACTTATATGGTACACACTCTGCGTGCCCGTGGTAAGCTCCCCGGCCCGCATGCATATATATGCATACTACTAGTGTACCTACCTAGGTACCGCATATAGTACATCGTACAACCAACCTTCGTAGGAGCCTTGGTACCCGCACCCGTTCTCCGACTCCGATGCTTGGTACCTGAATGGTGGATATCCAAGGAGCTCCGATGCACTACCACCCCTCCCTCATCCACGCTTTCAGGGACCGGAACCGCACCCAAGCCTTCCCCCCTCCCCCTGTTGCTGGGCCAAGCTAGCTACACAGCAACCAGGCCTCTTGCCTTTTCCACTTGGGATGCACACACAAATTGGCTACTACTACCTATACTATCAACCTTGTTATACATTGTAATACACAACAACTAGGTCTCTGTACACTTCACGCTGCGGGTTCTCGTGCCGGATTTGCCCCCCCTGGAAGAGAGGAAAAGTGAGGAGAAGAAAATAAGAAGAAGAATAGAGAGAAAGAGAGAAAGAGAAAGAGAGAAAGAGAGAAAGAGAAAGAGGAAGAGTGTGTGTACGTCCAAATACTGCCTAGCACTAAATCATAACCTTGTCCAGCCATGTCAAATGCTCCTCCTCTCCACCCCACCCGCACTAATGACACCACATCCATCTCAAAGGCGGCGTGCGACACAAAAAAACACCCTTTACTCCGTACACTAAGCACCCTCGAGACTTCCTCTTTCGTCGCTGGCTGCTGCCGGTCTTCTTGTCTCCATCCTCGACTCGTTGTTCGTCTTCTCTGGCTTGACTTGGCCTATTTTCTCTGGTGGCTTCTGCGCATCAACCTATACCTTCACTCTCGCTCTGGCGCTCGCTCTCCGAACATTCCTTATTCGCCACTATTCCACCCCATTCATTAGACCTTATTCCTCTTCGTCCTTCACTCTCTGTCGCCAATTCCTCCTTCGCTCACCTTCCAACTTATCTTCTTATCACGTCCCATTCCTCCGCTGGTCGACGACAGCTATCGCCATCGCCATCGCCATCGCCATTGCCATTGCCGCCTCTCGTTAAACTACCGCTCACCTCCACATCGCCATCGCCGGTAAGCTGACCCATCATCTCTCCTACCGCGTCGTGGTCGTCGCATGTACGCATATCGCCCTTCTGTCGCCGTCGTCACACAATCATCCTCAGGTACGTTTGCCCGTGTTAAAGTTCCTTCCGTCTGTACTCCAGGCCCAACCACCTGGCACCTCGCGCGTGAACGACTCGCCGCCATCTCCTGGCCGGCCCAAGAGCAAGAGAGGGTTGTGATCGACGCATGTTGTACTGCCTCCAAACCTACCGTCCACAATGTTCGCACATCTACGCCGAAACTCATTTACCCGTTCGTCCGGGTCCCCCGTACATGTACACCACTTGCCAGGGACTGCGTCTTCTACCCCTGTGTCTCGGACCGCGACAACAGTCCATTGCCCAGCTTCGATACTTTGTTTTTCTTATGGGTTGATCGTCTCTCTCTTGTTCGCAACCCGGTCTTCCGCTCGGTATCTCGTCCTCTCAGCCCGGCCAGACTCTCCGCAGGACGTGGTTACTCCGCATGAATCTCGCGCTGTCTCCCTCGCTCTCTGCCTCTACTACCAAGTGGATCACGCCCGGGTCCTTCCTTCGCTGCCATGCGGCCCTAGACCAGGTGTTTCACCTCGTCAACCGCCGCCGTCGCTTGCTCGATTAATCAAAATACCAGGCCGCTAACAATTACACTTCACGCAGCTACCCGTCATACCTTCCCAATCCTCTCTCCCGCATCGCATAAAAAATTCCCTCAGATTGCAATCACTCCCGCCGCCCCAACCTAGCCACTGATAGGGCCGTCCCCTTGTCCCACCTACGACGCCGCGCCCATTATCCATCCTAGTGTCACCTCGAGCCAATCCTCTGTGGTTTCACGGGGGCCAGGGAGACCTGCTGTGCTGGTTTACTCGACTTGCAGACACCGAACCTATAGCAAAGATGGCCACCACAACTGCTGGCTCGACCGTCGCGTCGCAGCCGACCTCTGGTATCTCTACACCCCAATTCCCCACGAGGTCGCGCGCCCAAAGCATATCGAGCGATCGTCCTTCCACCATCATGAGTGCCGGCCTCATGTCTCCCCCCCTCTCCGTCACACCCGAGGCCGCCTTCATTGCCGCCTCGGCCGCTTCTCAGATTGTCACCAACGACCACGACAGCTACGCAGACACATGGTACGATCAACATGGCATCGAACCTGCCGGCGAGACGGCCATGGTCTCGGCATCCGCCCTGCAGTTGGTGAACAGCTTCCTCGACCAGCTTCTCTTCAACTTTCTATCAGCGTCTCGCGCAACGACACTCGCCGCATTGAGGCCCGCCGTCTCCGAAGTACTGAAACCGAAACTGGCCAAAGATGCCATCAACCAGGCAGACGAGGAGCTACGGGAATACCTCGGTGGGGCCGACGAGGATGACTTCGTTCAGCCTCAAGGCGCGGGATCCAAGGACTGGGACCTGGAACTCGTCTGGAGGCGGACGCGGCTCAGGTGCATGGTGTACTCCTCACTGGGCGACATGGAAGAGGAGGACGAAGACTATCATATGGATCAAGGAAACCTCAAGCCTGGCATCGACGAGTGCGGTCCCGAAGTGATCTCTCCAGCAGTCGCCATCTTTCTAACGTCGATTCTCGAATACATGGGCGAACAGGCTTTGGTCATTGCAAGCCAAGCTGCATATCACCGTCTGCGCGCCAAGTTTGAAAAAGAACCCAAGAGGGGCGTGAAGAGTATTGCCGACATCGCCGACAGAATCGTGGTCGAAGAGCTGGACATGGAACGGGTCGCTCTTGATAGGACTCTGGGCAGACTCTGGAGGGCGTGGAAGAAGAGGCTTCGTTCTCCTGCCCTGGACGCGCGCCCCTTTTCACGTGCCTCGTCCGTCCGTTACAGGCAGAGCAGCACTCCCGAGAACCGCGAGAACACGCTCCCTGAAAAGGGTCTTGGCATCCAAGAAGCTCCGCAAGAGGAGGCCGAGATGCAACATCCCAATGATCACTCGAAGGCATCGGCCATCCCGCTACCGATTGGGGATCGCGATATTGACGAGATTGAGGTGCCGGGCCTAGCCTTCCACAGTGACGACGAGGAATCAGGTAGCGAGGAAGAGGAGCCTCTAGTGCAACGGCCCAAGAGTCTGATGATCTTCGCCTCACAGCCTATCGATGACATAGCCACACCTACGATGTCTCAACCTCATACTCCGATTGCCCCTTCCGGCCGCAAGCGCTCCAACTCGTTGCCCACCCCTTCCCCTTCGCCTTATGCTTCGCCAGTCTTCAAACGCGCCGGGTTCGACTCGGTCCAGACTGAGCCGGCTGGTGAACAGGCGCGTTCGGGTGAGAACGAAATCTCGACAGAGGCGATTCCTACGGACCTGCAATCGGCCGGCAAGTCGCAAGCCTCACCCGGAGTGCTCGCGCCGGTGCAAGAGTCAGTCGAGGTGGAGTCTCAAGCAGAGATTGAGAAGGTCCCGGAACCCAAGCCTCGTAACCCGAATCGACTTTCAAGAAAATCCCTGGAGCCTAAGCCTAAGCCTAAGCCAGTTCAAGAGGAGAGTGGTGATATTGACGACTTCACTGAGGAACCTGAAATCTGCACGTCTTCCAGGGTTTCGATCGCCGGCCGCAGCTCGCCGAGCAATTCGGAATCCGGAAGGGCCGTTGTGGTTGATCCCAAGATGCTGCAGCGAACGCCCAGTGTCCACTCGGCTCGTGTTGTTGATGTCCATGGGCCTAGAAGCCCCGTGATCGGATCAAGAAAGTCGTCGGTGGATGCGTCCGATCGCTCGGCCGACATTTCTCGCGCAAACAGCGGCTCCCGCGTAGCGCCCCCGATTATCCAAGAGGCACAGAAACCGAAGCCAGCCGAGATTGACATCGTCATTCGCTCGTCCTCCTCGACCCCTCGTACCCGGTCTCCGGTCGAGAAGTTGTCTCGCAGACAGAAAACCAACGAGTCCATCTCGGAAGTCGACGAAGATGCCGAGGTCCGACCGAATCTCCAGGCAGTCTCCAACTCTGTCAAACAGAAAAGTTCCTCTAGTCATGATCACGCCCCATCGGTGACCAAGGTAACCATCTTGAGCGACACTCATACCCACGGTGTCATTGCCGAGGACCGCATGTCCTCGCCGCGCCAACGGTCTCAAACCACCCCGAGCGTGCCTAACAATGGCCGGTCAGCAGCACAAGTAGCCCATTCCCCGACAGCCAGCGTTGGGGCGGTAACAGTCGAACGGTCTATAGCAGGTCATGATTCGCCCAACCACTCTCGGCATCCTCGAACATCCGGCTCCTCTGGCTCCTCTAGCACTGGAAAAATCAGGGCCGTCAGAAACTCGGAGGAGAGCAAGGCCTCATGTCGCGCCGATAACCTCCCTCGGAACTTTGAGGAGCTCATCCAGAGTGATGAAACCATCCAGTACACCCTCACTCCGGAAAGCATGCGCCACCTTGATGTAAGCCATGGCCCGCATCACATCGGTCTTGGTATTCGTCGCTAACAAATATCTAGGCGAACCGGGCACAGACTACGAGTCCTTCAACCGGTCACAAATCGAGGAAGAGTGAAAATGCTCTCACAGTTATGAACGGGGAGCGAAATAGGCCTGCCTCGAGCATGGACATGCGAAGGACTGTCTCCGTCAGCCGCGCCACAGGATTTAGCTCGCATCCGCCCGAGGCCAAGCACAAAGGCTTCGTCCCAAGGGCACCTCCCAGCAACACTTCGGCCCGACCCAAGACTGGTGGTCCGCAGGCGCGTGACGCCCGTGTACCCCGCGACACTGCAATGAATGACTTTGCCGTTTTCATCAGGTCCACTGGCCCGGCAGCTGAGAACGGCCCCGCAGCACTACGCAACGTGAGCGCCCCTGTCGCGCCTCCAGTGAAGATCAACGTCGAACCGAAACGTGTATCGTCAGCGAACCGACCCCGCCTGCAGGCACGGGATGCCGCTGTTGATAACCGTGAAGATAACTCTGACCTGATTGACTTTATACGGCGAGGGCCACCAAATGCAAACAATCCTCGGATTCCCCGCACGGTCGCCCCTTTCAGAACCACCATGGATTCAGATCAGATGTCCGGCGCCGTTGGTGGCAAGGCCGTTGATGCCAGCCTTCCTGACATCAGATACAGCCAAACCTCGACCACCGTTACGGAGACCACTCAGCCTTCTATCCAGTCATCAATCAACTCGCAGAGTGCCCTCCTGCAGAATCGCTCCAACGCCAATGCCTTGGATGAGGACGTGATGCCTAAGCGCACCAGACGTCGCGTTCGTGACCCGTACGCCATCGATTTGAGCGACGAGGACGAGGAAGATTATGCGCAAGCAGTTCGACCTCCTCCCAAGAAGGAGGAGAGCTTGGCGGACTTTTTGAGAAACTACTCGCCACCTCCCGAGCCAGCCTCCGTTCCGCAGAACATTCCGAAGAGAAAGGCGAGCGCTCCCAGTCTCATGGGGCGCTTTTCCAGGAAGGACGGCAATTCGGGACCCAACGGCGCAAAGTCGGCCAAAGTCGACAGCCGGTCTTTGAACAGTCGCGCTGGGGGTGGTCATGGTCACATTCCTATCCAGATCCAGGATCCTGCGGCTGAAGACAAGTACTCCGCCCTTGACACCACCGGGAACCGTTCGGCCATGCATTCCTCGGCCGGGCGCGTGCCGATGAAAAGGTTTGAGCCGAGAGAGGCCGTCTCGTCCACTACCAGAACCAATGACCTTGCTACATTCCTTCGTAGCGCCGAGCCGCCACAAACTACGCCTGCGGCGCGCCCCGGGCCATCGGTTGAGCCACAGCAGCAGAGTAGTAGTAGCGGATTCTCCAAGATGTTTAGTCGCCGGAAGAAGCTGAGCTTGGCCTAGTTGCCCAAGCCGCGTCGGCGCGGAGCCACGACATGAATGAAGCCCACGATCTCTCAATCGCTCACGAACGAGTCAACCATTCCTCGGCACTGTCTCTCACGCCGTCACACAACGCATCTATCACCACCCTTGTCTTTATTTTTGCATCAACGAAGAAGGACTCGGCGGACGCCGAGCTGGATAACTTTTGTTTGGTTTCAACTGCTGTATTTACATGTTTGTTTTATACCGATGTTTTGATACCACCCTTCCCCGAAAGACGGGATAGGATCTTGTTCGTTTCTTGTGCAGCCTTGGCAAAGGACCTGCATGCTTTTGGGCATCTTCAATTTTTTGGATAGTAGGATCGGGGAGTGGATATCAGCGGAGAAAATGCTCCTCCCACTTCGGACCTACTGGATTATCTGGCTTAGGAAGCATATTTAGATACGCAAAAGCGGTCAGCATCAACATTAGGTTCATCTCAATTATAATGTGCTGTGGCTCATGTGAGAACGGGGAGAGCTTCCAAGGTGGGAACAATGAGAACCTTTCATAGTGATATGTAGCCTCTGACACGGAATAGAATACCACGTTAGACGACTTTGAAGTGTGCATCTAGTGGGTATTCGGGATTGGCGGGCGGGGTTACCCTTGCTATGGCACTGTTTGACGACTGGGCAAGTGACGGTGAACGCTGGGACTAGGCCTTGGTTTGGTAGAACGAGACTCCCCCAACCGTTGGCCGACAAAGGGGACAATCGTTTGCCACCTGTTCTCTTACACGAAATCAGTGGGCAGGAACTTTTGTTTCCGGTGCGTGGTGGGCGGGGCGTCATGTTGGCCGATGATGTCTTGTTTTCTCCAAGCCTGGGGGCTTTGTCATACATGGTAGAGGTGCTACGTCTTCTGTATGGACAACTTATGCTGCTTGAATGCGAGTACAGCCAAGTCACGAGGTGGAAATCATATCAGGCGGGCAAGAGAGTTGTCCGCGAACGTAGTATTAGTCCATGTGCCTCCTATCTAGGAAGAGACGGTGCCAGCTATGCTGCCGAGAATTCATCGCAGCCCATTTTTCTTTAGAAAACCTTGTCGTCTGCCGTGACAGCGACGGAAATCGTGACCTCAACGCCAAATAGAGAATCATCAAGCCAGACTCAGCGCATCAGGGACGATGCATGTACAAGTTGGAATCTACCAGCCATCGTTGCCGGCATCTTGGGTGGAAGCACCACCGTCACCACCCGCACCCCAGGCATCGCCAGTGTCGGGCTCGTTGTAAGCACTTTTGGAGGCATCGTGGGGGGGACCAAAGTCATCCACGTCCTCTTTGGGAGGGTTAGGGCAGCGGTAGGACTTGTGTCCCATCTCGCCGCAGTTGTTGCACTTGATGCGGGTGACTATTGACGAACATATGTTAGTCAACCGAAATGAAGGCTGGGTAGCGGGTGACGTACCATCAACGGGCTTATCGCAGTCCTTGGAAAGATGGCCGTCCGCATCGCAGTTACGGCACTTGATCTTACGAGGCTCAGGGCACTCTCGGGAGATGTGACCCTCGTTGCCGCAGTTGTGGCAAGCGCGGCCACCACCGCCACCACCCTGAGGGCAGTCGCGGGAGAAATGGCCCACTGATGATGGTCAGTAGTTGATAATGCACAAGCAGTGTTAAGAAGGACTTACTCTCGTGGCATTTGTTGCACTCGACATCATCACCGGCCTTGCGGGGCTCGGTGCACTCCGAGACCTTGTGGCCAGACTGGCTGCGAAGGGGTCAGTGGTGATGTACGAAGAGCGTAGGTAGAACATGGCATCTTACCCGCAGTTCTTGCAAGCGAACTTGTCGACGCGGGGTGTGGGGCCTATATTAGTCAGTTGAAATCAGAAAGCTTGAGCGGAAGCGGGCAAACTGACAATCACGAACGCGATGACCTTCCTCACCGCAGTTGTAACAGGTGATGGTGATGCGGGCCTTCTCCATGGCCTCCTGGGGGCAGGACTTGGAAATGTGACCAAGCTCGTTGCAGTTGATGCACTTCTGTAGGAGGCGAGAGACAGGCTCCCCCGCATCTTCGAGGCGGGTCATATTCTCCTCGGGAGAAGAAGGCCAGGTAGCTTTCTCGCGCTGGCGGTCGGGATGAGCAGAGAAGCGGTACTGGACAGTGTACTTCTTGTCCAAGTTGCCCTGAAGATCCATGTTGGTGTGGGTAGGGGCAAGGACACGCTCGGTGGCAATGAGGTAGACACCGATCTCCTGGCCGCGGAAAGCCTTCTCTAGCTCGACATAGGTCATTTCAGGGAAGTGCTTGAGGTACTTATAGATTGCATCCTTGGCCTCGACTCCGTCACGCTCCTCGACAGCCTCGCAAATTTCCTCCCAGGCCTTTTCAGCGTCGACATCGGGGATCAAGCCACGATCGATCTTGCGAGGGGCCTTGCACTCAACGGTCTCATGACCTTGAAGAGAAACGTCAGCTCACCTAGGTTTGTGGCTTATCGCGGATGAATTGCAACGACTTACCCTCCTCGAGGCAGTTGCGGCAGGCATCGGCAGGCTTCTGGGGGCAGTCCTTGCGAATATGACCCTCCTCGCCACAGATGCGGCAAGTCATGGCAGGAGCGTCGGGGCAATCACGACGAGAGTGGCCTTCCTGACCACAGGCGCGGCAGGTACCATCGAAGCCCTTGGGACGCTCGGGACAATCGGCCTTGTTGTGACTAGGTGGCGTGTGTCAGTAAGCCAAACATGTCGATCTTGTGAGTGAGAGCCGTGGACTTACCCAGACTGGCCGCAGTTGAAGCAGGCACGGTCATCACCATTTCCGCCCACGCCGTCGCCGCCCTTGGGGTGGTTCCAGGGATCATCAGCGGGGATTTCGTTCGTACCCCAGTCGTCAGTCATTTTGTCGTAGTGTCTAGGAGTGCTGAGGACTTGATATGAGGTGCAGTCAGTAGGGTTGACGGAGGCGCTCTGGACTGGCCCAAAGAGTCAGCGGAGGAATTTTGCAGATAGTATGTAGGACTGAAAGAGAAAGCGGATAAGAAAGTGGAGGGAAGAAATATAGAAAAAGAAAGAAGAAACTGGGTGTGCCTTCGAGAGGGTTATGTGGCGGAAGGGATTCAAGATTGGGAAAGAAGGTGCAGAAGTATCAGTAATCTGGATGAAAGATGAGGAAAGAGCGGCGGCTTTGAAACAGCATGTCTAGCGATCGTGGGAACAGATAATCCAGGCAAAAAACCATGACTTACAATATCTCTCTGTTGGCTTGTAGTCCCAGTAATTGTCTCGATTTGTGTTAATCTGCACCGCTGTGGAAATATTGCTGTCGCGGTTTGACTGTTGAGACTGCAAATTCGCGGTGGTTGCGGAAGAGAAGAAAGGAAGCAGTAATTGCCAAACTAAAAGTATAATTTTTATTTGTACCTCCCTAGGTACCTAGGAAAGAAGAACCGGGCAATACTCATGGCGTTGAGATTGTTGGCCTTGTAGCCTGCCGTCAGGCATGTTCAGAGTTGTTGACCACCTACCTGGAGACCTGTGGCATCCCAAACGATGACTTTGGGGATGCAAGAGGGGCACGACTTTGACAGGAGATCAACCGTCACACTGTTCAAAAGGTGTTTATGAACATCCAAACACCTGCATAGGCGGGAAAGTTCGCTTAACCTTCCTTCGTTTCTTTGAAAAGTATTTGGTTTCTTTGTTGGAAAACATGCGTCCTGGTTGTGACCCTCCAAGACTCAATTCCCATCTCTCTTAGTTCTAAGCTGACACTAACCATATAATGAGATCCCTTAGTCTGTGTCTTGGTCAACTGAAAGATGGTTCTCATCATTATGTTCTCGGCTTAGGTCAAACAAAAGGTAGTTGGCGGTAATGGCAAAGGATAATTGCGACCTGGATACAGTTCCTAGGCCCAAGCAGTTAAAACACGAGGTACCAGGGTCAATGTACCAGGCTACTCTCTGCCAACAAGAAATCAGGCACCCTAGATTTCCGGAACAATCTCGTGTTGCCACTGCTGGTAGACCGACGAGACTCGAATGACAGGAGTGCGCAAAACTACTCCAGAGATATTTGTTCGAACAGACCCTAGATGTGTTCGGAGTAAGAAAAATAATATAAAAAAAAAGATCCTTAGGCTGGATGAGACCCAAAGACGCCTCGATAAGGAGCTCATTTGGGCGGTAAACACGATACGCCTGATGAGAAACGCGTTGGCATTGGCTCGATGCTGGGATCACACAAGTATCAAAAGAATGCCCATGTGTCGTCTCTTATGTCCAAGAGACCCTAACAATGGAAGGATGCTACTCCAGCTTGCCAAACAAGCCTCCGCAGCACGAATACCGAATATCAGCATGCGTAGTTACATGTTCTCTCCATCGATTAGGAGCTTTACAAACGTTTCTCGAGTCATGCCTCTAGTTGCCTGATGCACGTTCATGAGTGTCTAAGAATTTCCCGTACACAAAACAACTCGAATTTAAGCGGCAGTAGTTCCTGATTGATCAGCCTTCGATAGCGCCCTCTTGTCACCTTGATGGGACATGTGTCGTTGGAGAATTAGTCAGCTAGCCACCGGCAATCGGAGCAGCAAGTTTGTGAAACACCCCTGCTGGTCCACATGCCCGACAGGGGGGGCATTGGTGTGAAAGCTGGAGGGGTAATTTTGCGTACCTAGAGCACCCTGCACAACAGCATCGGCAAAGTCCTTGTGTAAAAGTGACATCAACACTTTTCGCCCTTTTTCTGCTCTCAAGGAGTGCAGGGCTTTCGTTCTCTCTACCGTGCTAGATGACGTCAAGTGAGGATTTTGCAGCACAGTTTTGGTGTCATGGTATTTATTCCCTCTACTCTCTGGTGGTGACAATTAGCTCAGGATGGGGCTTTCCCACTGGTCATAGCTCCTTGATCTCAAGCAGCATGAAACCGTGTCAATCGTCTCTATCGTGCGTGTACGGATACCGGACTGACACATATTTGGCTAACAACTCGCCGTGGGTCCGAGAGAAGCTGGCTTACATGGGTTCGTTGGCTTGCACCTCGCGGGTCATGGATCCAGATGGCGGGGTTGATACCGGTTGCCCCGCTTCCATGAGCTTGACGACTAAAAGACGCAACGCAACACAACCAGAGCCTGTAGCTCCAATCGAACTTCCTCTTCGAACACGACCCGGTCCCCTAAATCGGCAAGAGACTATAAGTACCTAGGTAGTCTACCCACCCTTTGCTTGACTTGACAGACAGCCTTCGCATCCCTCCCACATTCTGTTCTCCCGGCCTCGCACCACCTATTCTCTCAACCCTGTAATCGGATTGCCTCGAGAAACCGCCAACCGAAGACAACATGTCCAAGCCCGAGGATCTTCCCCCTATGGAGTACCGCTTCCTGGGCCGTTCCGGTCTTCAGGTTAGCGCCATCAGCTTGGGAGGCTGTCAGTTACCCGACTTTGCCAATGCTATTTGCTTCAGCGACTAACTATTCCTAAGGGTTGACCTATGGAGGTCACATCGACGCCGGTATGATGGGCTTTGCGAATGCGATTGACTACTAGAGGCTGACACCTAATACAGAGGGCACTTTCGAGTGCATGAAGGCCGCCTACGACTCCGGTGTCAACTTTTTCGACACCGCTGAGGTCTACTCTAGCGGCGAGAGTGAGATTGGTACGAACGAATGAATTGAGCCCTTGGAATGAGAGCGAAGACTAACCTCCACTCAGTCATGGGTCAGGCCATCAAAAAGTACGGCTGGAAGCGCAATGACCTTGTTATTTCCACCAAGGTACGAGTATTCTTGAACGGCTGTCGCTCCTGTGATTCAAGGCTGACTTCTGGTGCCCGATGGTAGATCTACTGGGGTGGCGCTTTCGGCGACAACATCGTCAACAACAAGGGCCTGTCCCGTAAACATGTCATCGAGGCCATGGATGCCTGCCTTGAGCGTCTTGACCTCAGTTACGTAGATCTCGTCTACGCTCACCGGTAAGGATTACCGCCCTCAGACAAGCGTACGAAAACGGCTGACTCTCGACAGTCCCGACCGTCAGACCCCTATGGAGGAAACTGTCCGCGCCTTCAACCACCTTATCAGCACCGGAAAGGCCCTGTACTGGGGAACCTCCGAATGGAGCGCCGACGAGATCGCCCAGGCTTGGCGCTACGCCGACAAGCTGCACCTCATCGGCCCCGTCATGGAGCAGCCCTCGTACAGCATGCTCGACCGCAAGAAGGTTGAGCACGAGTTCTTCCACCTCTACCGCGAGGTCGGCCTCGGCCTGACTGTCTTCTCCCCACTGCGCCAGGGCATTCTCTCCGGAAAATACAAGAACGGCATCCCCGAGAGCTCGCGCTTCGGTTCCGAGAAAATTGGTTTCATCAAGGACTACTGGAAGCGTGAGGACGCCAAGAAGCAATTCCAGGACCTCGTCGACAAGGCCAACAAGATTGAGCCTATTGCAGAGAAGCTCGGCGTCAAGATGGCTACGCTGGCGCTCGCCTGGGTTCTGAAGAACAAGAACGTTAGCTCAGCCATCATTGGCGCGAGTAGCCCCGCACAGATCTACGAAAACGTGCGTGCAATCAGCGTGCAAGAAAAGCTGACGCCCGAGATTATGGCGGAGATCGACGAGGCCCTCGACAACAAGCCTGACGCCATTATCCCCAGATTCTAAGGAGATCGACTATGATGTGAGAGAACACGAATCAACAACAGAGATGTATGGAGCGGTGAAATGGCAAACATGGAGTCTTAATGATAATAGTGTCGAACATCCGATCTGAGTTACATAGACGGCAGTTCAAAGTATACACTTGGCCGAGGCGGCGACACTCGTGTAGACATAGGTGCAACAGAAATCATTGTCGAATTCCCCGAGTTAAATGTTCTTCCAATTGCCTCGATACGGTAACTTCTCTATCTCATAAGTAGCGTGTTCGGCATCACCTTGGTTCCCTAAATCAAGTCCATGACTCCTGTGATTTACTCTCGAGTTACTGTCGCGATATTGGCTCTATAACATGTCCCAGGGTAGAGTTGTACGACTATGCCCGACACACAGCATTCTTTTCATACCTAGAGTACGACAAGAGAGACTTCGAACCCCTCAACGTCCATGAACTGACACCGACGCCCCCCCCCTTCCATCTACAACGCCGAGTCGCAAACGCCGGCGACTCAACGACCTCTGCGCCGGAAGCAGCCGATTTAAATCATCGGATAAATGAAACAGAACCCAACCCGGAATGGTCGTGGTTCCGCGGCGTTGGACCGCATCGCCAGGCCGTCCAAGGAGACGACGACTATGGCCGTGGCACATTGCGCACTACCGCCAGCACAACTGCAACCGCGCGAAGGCAGCGAGGCCGCATTACTGCCAAGAGTCTCACCCGGGAAGCTCTTGGACTGATGAGCCCCGGTATCTTTAATCTCATGAGACAAGACTGGCGTATGCTGCAATTCCTTGCATAGCTCCGTGGCCCCCTCCCCCCCTAATCGTGAGCGCGTTCGTAGACCAGCTTCCCCCCAACCCATGTCTCCTTGACCTTCAGGTCCCGAATATCTTCGATGTCCATGTTCTCGAGCGGCTCGTCTAGCACCACCCAGTCTGCAAAGGCGCCCTCCTTGATCACGCCAGCCCGCCCCTCCATGAAGGCACCGAAAGCCGGACCCTTTGTGAACCCGAGCAAGGCCTCGTCCAGGCTCAGGGCCTCCTCCGTGTGCCACCCCTCAACGCTGCCGTTCACGCCATACCCCGTGTGGGGGCTCTTCCGTGCGACGGCAGCGTAGATGCCCTGGAATGGGTTGGGCGGTTCCACGGGGAAGTCGCTGCCGAGAATGGGGTTGACGTCGAGGAGGGAGCGCATGCGGTAGGCTTCCTTCTTGGTCCGCTCCGGGCCCAGGCGCAGCTCGGCGTACTTCATGTCCGACGTCGCGTGCGTCGGCTGGATGGAGGGGATGATCCCGATGGCGTGGATCCTCCTCTGGTCGTCCTCGTGGATGATTTGTGAATGCTCGATGCGGAAGCGTCGTTTGGCTTGGCACTTGGCGAGGTCTCCGGTTGGACAAGCATCTCGGAGGCCGGCCTCGAGGGCGTCAACGGCGTAGCGGTTGGCCAGGTCGCCGATGGCGTGGATGTTGACCTGGTAGCCGACGGATGCCCAAGACCTGCCGAGCTGCTTCAAGGTCGAGCCGTTGACGAGAAGAGAGCCGGCGGTGTCGGGACGGTCGTTGTATGGCTCGATCATAGCGCTCCCCCAGCTACCAAGGGCGCCGTCTGCGATATATCAGCATCACGCAAGTCGCGGTAGCCCCCCCTCCCCTTTTGGTTAACTCACCTGCAAAGAGCTTCACAGATTTAACGCTAAACATGTCATCCTCGCGGAAGACGCGCGCGGCGTCATCGGGGCAGAAGGTGTTGCGCTGGGCGCACTCCAGCATGGCGTACACACGAACGGTCCAGTCATCCGTGCGCGCCATGTCGGCGTACAGGTCGAGCTGGTCCGGGAAGACGCCCGCGTCGTGGATGCCAACCAGGCCGAACTCGTTGAGCTTCGCCATGGCCGCCGCGACAAAGGCCTTCTTCTTCTCGGGGCCGGGCTGGGGCCACAAGTTGTAGATCAGGTCCATGGCATTGTCGCAGAAGACACCCATGCCCGGCTCGCGGACGATTTCACCGCCCGGGACATCGGGGATGTCTGCGGGCAGGAGATCGAGCACCGCCTGCGAGACCCAGGTGCAGTGCACGTCAATTCGGTCGAGCATGAAAAACTTCCCCTTGAGGAGTTCATCTTCTTCGATATCCGCCTTGTCGAGAGTGAGAAGAACAGCTCAGAGGGGATGGGGTGGGGAGAGTTCACTTACGGCAGTGGGCATCCTGCCATACGTATTCTGGTCCCAACCAACGCCCCGAATCCATTCGTCTTTGGTGCCTGCATCGGCGTGGCTATCAACATAGAGCCTGAGACGTCCCTTCACGTCGTCCAGCGAAGATGACCCAAACAAGTCGGCTGAGTAGAGGCTAGCACGTAATTAGTTGAGACTAGTATAGATATTATTATTATTAATACGTACAACTCGCCGTATTGTGCCAGATGGCCGTGGCCATCCCAAATTCCGGGGATGATGTAGCCAGCCTTGGTAGTCAAGCTGGCGTCGTCCCAAGGAAACACGCGAGTGAACCTCCCGCCCGAGACCGTGAAGCACTGGGCCAGAGGCTGGTCCTCGTCGTGCGTCCGGACACCCTGGTAGCAATGCGTCTGGGTGTCAGCAATGTCGCCCGTCAGAGGCTGTTGGAGGCGCACGACCGCCAGGGCGACGACTGCCACGGCGGCCGAGAGGCCGACACCCCACCTCGCGATTGGAGTTGCGGACATGATGCTGGAAATTCTAGTCGGACATTGAGTTGACTAGCGACATCAGTTGAGTCACAGAGGTCTCGGAATTCGGTGTGGAAGATCGATATTCTTATCGTCGCTGCTCGATAAGAAATCCAATCTTATCAGTGGACGCAGGGGTCCATGGTTTCCATAGCATCCATCCACCCTTTTGGATTTGTGACTGCTTCGTCAGGGTCTACAACGACATCTCATAACCTTTTTGGCTTTGGCAGACTGTGCAATTCGTCATTCAGTCGATGGTTGTCACGAGACAGGATTCGAACTTTCTGGAGACGGTCCCGGACGGGCTAGGAAGCCACCATAACATTCTGGGGTTCTTTGAGTGTCCTGTCACGTACCCATGACTAATACATACATCCTGCCACAACATGTAGCTGGAATACATACTCACAATTGGTAGCACAACTAAAAGATCGAGGGGCCCAGGAACCAAAACTCATCAATGGCTTAACGACAACGGCGACGCCCAGCTGTATCAGCTGCGTTCCTGATAATAACCTTACTGGCCTGTCTACCGGTATCAACCTCAGTGACCTTGGTGTCTGCATTAGAGTTAAAGGTTAAAAAGAGGGCGTTTATTTATAATGTAGTTTTTCAAGGGGGGGGGCAACTGTCACACACATCTATAGAAGGATATACCCATAACCAAGCAGGGGTGTATAATCCTACCACAACAGACCATCAACAACACACGCACACATGACTCTCACAGTGGACTCAATCCGTTTTTTTTTAAACCTCGCCTGTCAAGACAAAGTCCATCTGGAGAACGAATGATCCGGCTCATTGGTGCGGCATGACAAGCTCGTGAAGCACGTCTCAGTGCCAGCTGGAGCTTGCCTACCTAGCCCATTTAGATGCTTGTTTCAGCCAAACGGGCCATCTTTGTCCACATCCCATGCAGGATGCAGACAGACTCCAACGCCTCAACCGCTGTAGCTCTGGGCCATGGTTGGAACTGGTCATCATGACTTGCTACCCGCCTTTCCCCCTTCCGCCATCAACTAAGGCCGCATTCTTTGACAGAGCCTGTCACCTTGCTCGTTCTCCAGACTGGCGTGCTACCACCACAATACTCATATTCCGGAAACGACTTGAGCGCCTCGCCGGAATGTATGTCCGCCTCCGCTGACATGTGGCTGCTGGCATTGGCCTCATCACCCTTCATTCCTTCCACCTCGCTGGTCAACATCCGCGACCTTGAGTACATGTCCGGTCCTACCATACGCCCCGGGAGTCGTCTACAGATGCAGCACCGTTTAGGCTGCCACCAGTGGTTCTACCGCGCTCGAACGACTAGTCGCCAATGCTACGCACATCTTTGACATAGGTATGCTCCTCCAGCGAACGCAAACGCCATCCAGACCCCGAGGTCGAAGGAGTCACGAACACGTGGTTTGACAGCACTGTTTTCGATGGTCAACCCGTCTTGGATGAGGGTGTTGCTGCCGCCGGCGGCGCACTGGGAGTTCGTAAAGAATACCTCAAGATGCTCGACATATACCAACCTTTGTTCAGCAGTGCTCGCATCGGCACCGGCGCCACGTTCCAACACTCGGGTTTCTGCAACATATGCGGCCTGCGGGCGTCGAGCTGGGATGCCTTGGAAAAGTGGCTCATGCGAGTAGCGTTCGGGAACCCGTCTGGGATCGGGTCATGACTGACGGCTAACACTCTCACGGTTGTCGAATGGCCTTATCTAGGTCACCCGTCTGTCTCTGGCAATCTGTATATAAACCCTTCATTTCGCGGCTGCTCGGCCTCGATGAGCTGCTCATTTACGTAGCACAAGGAGAGCAAACGTCTTGCAAAACACAGAGGTAGTTTTTGTACGTTTGACCTTCATCCTTCTCGTTATGAACGTCTACCCGTCTTTTGAATTCCGGGGTTCTACCCGTCATATCACAAGCTGGACCAGGTTGCTAACAGGGTATAGCATACCAAGACACTCGGCTCTTGGGAACCATCACGTCAGCTCCCTACTAGCTACAAGGCACCCGGCTGCGACTAGCTTGTTGTCATCACGATGCAACTGTTTGTTTTTGGCCCGCTAGTTATAGCTTTGATCTTGCTCACGCTGGGAGCTGAAGGGGCCACAAAGTCACCGTACAATGCATGGACGCATCACAGAAACGCAATGGAGTGGTGGATCCTGTGGCCCAAAAGTGACGATAGGGGGCTGAAACTCATGACGCTCCCCGCATGCATTCGAGACTGCATCACTCCGGAGAACTCCTGGGTCGATGTAAACGGCGTAAACACGTCAGTACATACCGTCAAACGGCGGGTTTTCTGCGACCCAAGACTCGGTCTTGTCAAGAAGTACTTTGTCAGGCAAATCGGAAGATGTACCTTAGAGAGCTGCAGATTTGAGCACTCATTGTGGCGCCTGAGAGCGCACTACGACGTATGGCTTAAGGGTCTCTGCGTGCCTCCCGGCATCAGACGGCCAAAGAGCGTTTGGAGGTTGGAGACTGAGACCGTCCTCAAACCCATGATTGACCCTTCCTCCAACAACACAGACAACCCCACCGATCATGACGCCAACGAACATATCGACTGGGATGTTTACGATGATTACGGTTGGGACGCCTACAATTATGTCGACTGGAGTGCCTACGGGGATTTTGGTTGGGATGTCGACGAGGATCACGATCTGGGTGACTACGACGAGTTCGATCGGGAAGCCAAAACCACCAACGAGACCGCCTTTGGAACAGAGTGGAGGAACACAGTCTACGCCAGCAAACGTCGTCCGGGAAGGGTTGACGGAATGAGTTGAGGCGGGTAGTGTGACCGAAACCATGTATACGGACAACATCGTCTTCCATGAGTGACAGGAGAGAACAGACAAGCCAGCAGAGCACCCTGCGGTATGTAGAACCAAGGTCAAACGACAATGTCATTTCTCAGCAACATCTCGCTCCGTCTCAAAGCCCTGCTGACCCTTCCGTGAGATATGTCCTGAAGGAATGTCGAACCCGTAAAACTGACGTCGGATCTCTGTTCATCGGCACCCGTACACACTAAAAGCGACGCTCATCCCCTGCCCCACCCACCCTACCTACCTTTCATACCGTGAAGTGCGCGCCGTCTCTCCGATGACACGCGCAAAGAGGAGGGTAAGGACTCATCTGCGGCAGGCATAACAGGGGTTGCACACAAATAGAAATAAAATAAAACCGTTTTGGTCCTAAGACGTAGCCACTCGGGTGAAAGAAAAACAGATACCTTTTCACCACCCACCTATCCACCTACTTTCATCACTACTACTGCAATACACCTCAATACACTAAAAAAGGCACGATTACGAGGCGCCCACGAATTTCTCGAGGCCAAAAGCATCAAATACAAGAAAAATAGAGCCTTTTGCTCACTTTGAACGGGGTATTGAATGGCTGGAAGCCGTAGTGTTTTGGTGGTGTTGGAAAATGGTATCCGTTTTTCTTTCACCCGAGTGGTAGCCCAACCTGCGAAACCGTTACGCCGATGACATCACATCCACCCCCCAGCCACACATCATCCTTCTTCCGTGCCACAACGCTAATTGGCGGAACTCCACTCCACCGATGCCCTTTTCCTCTAGCGCCCCCCCCCCCCCCCCCCCCCCCGAATGGACGACCGCTCGATCTTAGCCAGAAGGGGGCAAGCTCGAGGCAAGGGGGTGAGGCTGGAGCCAATGGGATCCCTTCTTTCATCCGCTATACGTCACCAGCCACAGGACCCCTTACAAACTTGTTTTGCTTTTCTTCACTGAGCTCGACGAACGATTCGCTTGTCTCGATCGCCATCCAACTGACACTCACCTTGACCTCATTCACCTCCCGGCGGCGCAAACGCGTCGCTCGCTCATCACACATCCTGCCTGTTTGGTCGACGAGCACTGGTCTGGCCAGCCTTGGCTGCCACACCAGCAGCTCGCAAGCGCGCGGTTCCCCTCCCTCCCATCCTACGTAACAATGTCTAAATCTTTCGCCCACACCCATGTCCACCCTCGGCGGGAGGAGGGTTCCTCCTGCTCTGCACACGTCCCGAGATGAAAGGGAACGTCACCGTCTTCCAAAGCCAAGGGTCCAGCCCCTCATGTGTCTGCCTCTGTCGCAAAAAGACGGCCGAAGGGTCCAAAGATGGACCAAGACACGGGTTCTGGACCCTTTGCGCATCATTCCCACCACACACCCCGCCCAGCGTGACCTGACTCGATGTAAATAGGATCTGGGTATCCGTATTTCGCTCGGAATGTCGTAGCCTGACTTTGGCCCTCCCGCCTTATCGAGAGGCCACTAAACTTAGACCCCATGGGCCCTGACATCATACCTCTGGACCCTGATCCTGTAGATCACCACCCTTTCCATTTCCGAGGCTACTTTGATGATGCCATCCAACACACCTGTATACCACAATCCTACGTGTAACCATCAGACCAACATAGATGGAGCTGATCTGACAAGAAACCATATAAACTGTCTTCCGCTCCCACTTACCACCGGACTCCTCTTCTTCATCATCAGCATCAGGCTACCCAACAACCAAACAAACAAAACACTCTCAAGAGACTTACAAGTCTTCCAAAACCAAACCAACCCACATCAGCCAACAACCTCTTCAACAACTACCACAACCCTTTTTACAAAAACCATCACCATGCCTCTCCGGTCCACCCGCCACACCACCACCGCCCCCCGCCGCAACGGCCTCTTCTCCCGCCGCCGCGCCGCCCCCGCCACCACCACCGCCACCACCCGCACCACGCACACCAAGCGCGGTGGCCTCTTCTCCCGCCGCCGCGGCCCCGTCCACACCGCCGCCCCCGTCCACCACCACCGCCGCAAGCCCTCCATGGGCGACAAGATCTCGGGCGCCATGCTCAAGCTCAAGGGCACCCTGACCCGCCGCCCCGGCCAGAAGGCCGCCGGCACCCGCCGCATGCACGGCACCGACGGCCGCGGCTCCCGCCGCTACTAAACCAACCCCCCGTTAGCGGATGGGGCCACCCGGTTGATGTTTGATACCCCCAACCACCACGACCAACCATGGGCCCCTTGCCACCCCCCTAAAGGCCTCTTCCGCGTCTTGCGAGACACGCCCGGCTGTAGCGAGTTTTTTTGTTTTTTTGAGCAACGGACGATTGATGATGGGAGATTTGGGATACATTGTTGTACTATTATTGTTTCGAGAAAGCGAGCTGGCTTGGAAGATACCACGTCTGTATTACGATATGAAATGCAAACACTTGGCAAACCATCTAAGCACGCTGTCAATACGTGGCATGGTGAATTTTGAAAGTCTTTGATTGAATTGCGCATCGGTGTATCTACTGTGTGTCTGCTACTGCTTCAAGAAAAGCGACCCTTTGACATTGAGGAGGGTTGTCTACCAACTCGCCCAAAATCCAGTCCACGCTGATCCCTCATTCGTACCACCCGTCAACCAGCAAACCACTTATATGCAACCTTGGCATATGGAAAGGAAGAGAAGGGGAAAAAAAGGCCTCGTCGGGGGGTTGGGTCATATAGGACGCCTGTTGCCCGCACTCGAGGAGTGGCAATATGAATGAGAAGAGCATTCCTTGTACCGCAAACCAAACCCAAACGTAACCTTCGGTGCATAAACCGATCCTCAGATACTCGCAGCAACCATATGCCCGTGCCCAGTTGCAGCAGGACTTTTATTAAGGGTAGTGCGTTCGCAAAATCGTCAAGCAGGAGAAAATGAAAAGGGCGCGGTGTGCTGCGCTACGGCGTTGATGTTGCTTGTATTCTTCTGTCTGGTGTTAGCACTCCAGATGAGACCATGAGCGAGGGTAATCACTTACACAAATTGGTGGCGGTGGCGAATTTCTGACGGTTGGTAGATGTACCGGTTGTCGAATCGCTAAGATACCCAACACAAATGGGTGACGAAGTACGTGCCGAAAACCGGAATGAGAGACTGTTGACCCGAGGATCGTGGTGTACCTAGTCGTCGAAAAGGAGGGCGATATCCATGTAGTCTGCCGTATCCCAGCGAAGCTCATATTGCTCTTGCCGGACGTGCGATTATGTCCTCGAAAGCTGTAGAAAAGTAAACAAAGAAATTTGCGAGAAACCCCTGCACTCGCCCAACATGCCGAACGTTGATCCTTATGGACCACAACAGCTGAACGACACTTTCTTTCGTCAACCTTCACGGTCAAGCCTAAAATCGACGCGGGCGGTGACCATCAACGGTCACATCCTACTGCAGCTCGTCAAGCTCCATCGCGTCAAAGTTGGTCGGCTGGCGCTGAGGTGCGAATCGGGGAGCGAATGGAACTCTGGTAATTGGCTCGACAGGACGAGGAATCCGGGATTTCTTGGATGAAAAAATCGAGGACTCGCGAGTGTGCTTATGCTCTACAACACTGCTGGCCTCGTACATGATGTCCTTCGTGGCATGCGACTTCATCGGAGCATTCTTGTCCCGCGGCGTCAGCGCGTTGGGTCCGATAAGGCCTGCGAACTTGATCTCCAACGCCTCGCGTTCTTCCAAAGGCGCCTTCTTGATTTGCTCAATCGCATAAGCACGAAATCGAGTCTCCAAATCGTTCAGCTCGTCCTTGCTAGGGGACGGGTGCTTCTTCATGCTCAGGTCTGCCTGGTCGCGAAACAGTCTCATGCCGCCGGCCAGCTTCAGCTTCCGAGGAACAGGGCCACAAGCAACAGTGTTTCCCTCGGTCTCTTCCAAGGCCCCGAGGTGACGCTTGTCTCCTTTGGCGTATCTCTTCGAGGGACTTTCTGGGGAGGCAGCGTTATGGACAGTACGCGTACGAGGGGTCGAAGCGCAGAGGGGTTTCTCGGACAAGATACCCTCGAGATCAGCATCAAAGTCTTTTTCGGCTGCAAAGGGATTGAGAACCGGAACAGGCGGGATATCATCAGTCGAGTCGATGCTGATCTTCAAGCGATGCTCAAAGGGAGTGGGGGTACGGATTATCTCGTACGCCTCAGAAAAGGGGTCGTCCGAGGATCCGACGCTTCCATCATTGGGAACAGGCTTTCGGACGATGCAGCCCCCAATAATGGTCTGTGACTTCTTCATTTTGCGGTTGCCAAACATGTCGTCGTCTTCGTTCGCGCGGGGATGGGCAGAGCTGGCAGGAGAAGCGTCCTCGACTTCTTCCAGATGGTAGTAGACCGCTGGATTTGGCATGTCGCATGTTGCGAGAGCGATTGGGGCAGATATCTTGCCCCTGATACTGGACTCTGGGGTCTTCGGCTTGGACTGGAAGATGTCCAGTGCCTGGCGGACCTTTGACATGACCTTCTTGCGACGATTTCGTGAAGGAATTGAGATTGTCGGCGTGATTTCCTGGGAGCCACGAGGCTTGAGTACCTCGGTAGCAGCCAGCATCGCTGCGAGCTTGTCGTTCACCAAGTTGGGATTGACAGCATCGGGGTTGGTGTCAGACATGGAGCCAACAGCCTGTTTGGGCATTACGCCGAGAGGCGCCGTCGTCGAACCAGACAAGACAAATCCATGTCTATTACCGGCATCCAACAGAGTGGTTTTCGATTGAGGAAACGAACGCTTCGCAAGATGCAGCTCATTGTCAGTATTCTTGGTTCTCTTGCCTCGTCGTCGACGTGAAGATTTGCGAGGGATGGCTGGTGGAATCTGGTTCATCTCCGAGGCCTGAGCATACGACTGAGAACGTGTAGTGTTTCCTCCCGATGGAGAACTGATTGTGAGGTTGTGCGAGGAGGTGTCCATCTTTGCCTTCTGTCCCGAAGAATGGGATGGAAACGCCATCGGTTCGGAAGCGCAGAGGAGGACTGAAGGATGACTTCGAAGACCGTTCGGGTGGCTGAATATAGTGCTCTCTAAGAGTTCACTGGCCAAGCGGTCAACATTTTGGTCTTGGTTGCCTGTCAAGGCAGCGCCGCTCTCGAACGGGCCCGGTTCGTAGGTGTTCGCAGGCAACGAGGGCGTCACCGACTCTATGGAGATCGTTAGTTGGCATCTTCCGACGGTTCAATCTTCCCCACGTTCATACCTTTGACTTCGGTCATTTTTTCCTTCTTGATACCTCTATCGCGACGGCGAGGCGCCAAATTGGCGAGGGTATTCATGGACTTCTTCTTCATGATGCATAAGTAGCGACTGTCAGGGGTAAAGAATGGACTGGACGATAAATGGTCCAAAAACGAGACTGAACGAAGACAGGAAAGGAAATGAAGAGAAGACGATACTCCTTAGAATCCGAAGGAGTGCAAAACGCAACGAGTCGGCAGTGGCGTCGGTATGTTTGACTCCACCGGATCAAAGATCGCAAGCTTGCCAGACTATGCTGCGGAAACAGCCAGTAAATGGATTCCAAGACGGAGTTACCTGCTGAGTGCAAAACGCCTTGCAATGGGGCCGAAGAGTGATGGATTGGTGTCAGCTCTTGCCAATGCCGGCAATAAGCTGACGAGGTCAGGTCTCACGATGTTGGTGATCAGTTTGCAATCGCGTGGGGGCGTCGACGCGTGGTGGGCTTGAAGAAGGGCAGAAAAGCAAGAAAACAAGCGAGCGAGATCGACCAGATCTCATCTAAGCGGGCCTTTCCTTGGGCAAGTTCGGTCTTTCCTCTGATCAACACCAGACCTGCCGTCGTGGCTTCCTGTTCCCATGCTCCAAGCCCACTGTTTCGCCCAGTGTTTGGTTAGCCCTCGAGGGGGACAGTTGTCCCGGCTCATCTTACTCACTGGAAGCTTCCGGACTCGAATCTTCAGCTTGCAGCTTGAGAAGCTGCCAAGCCGCACTCAACACGGATTAACAGCGGGAAGGCTTCATGGCTTTGTCTCGGGTGAGCCCGTGTGACCATCCATGGGCATAGAATGGTATTGTCATCTTCCAGCGCAAAACGGCGTGAAGAATGACGACGGCTTTCACCTCTACATGGACAAACATCTTTGGCACATGATAAACGGGTGCCTAGTAAGTCGAATCTGGACGACATTAGGCTGTTGTTTAAATTGGGGGCGCTAGAGGTCGCTAGAGATCGTAGCTTCGGAAAGTAGGTTATCGCGAGACAGCAAAACGCCATGGCTGATGGCCGGTGAAGAAAACAAGGTTATCAGAATTAATCCGAATCATCAGCAATGCTCCTCGGCTCGGAAACACGCGGGCGGCAGGAAAGTGATGACCGAAGGTTAGGCATCGGATTTTGGCGTTCTACACGTGTTGTATAGAAAGCGCCTAGAACCGACGCAAGGAAAGCGTTACGGCCATATGAGCAACCTGATGGGATTGGGCATCTTGCTGCAAAAACAGATCAAGCAAAACTACCGAGGCGTCTTCTTGGTTTAGAAGACACAAGGAGCACGTCACGTCACAGGAGAACAAGGACAGTTAAAGCGTCGCAACTTCTAGAGAAGATATTAGAGTTAGAAGGGTTGGAAACGAAGAAAAAAAACCCCCCCCCACAAGTTGTTCCAGTCTCCGACTCCTCGGACATCACCGGAGTGCACCATGGCCGGCGACGGGGGGCTTACGGCACCCGTTCCGACCGGTAAACGTTGTGTAGGGGCGGAACGAGCTGGAAGGACAACGGAGAGGCCCCGGGCTTGCGGCAACCCGCGGACTCCCTCGGATCATCTCGGAATTGAGACCTTGTGCCAGCTGTGTCCATGAGCGGCCGGCTGGCCAGGAAAGCCGGAACTTGCGACAAACGATGAATCAAACAAGGGTCGACAGAGCCATACCAGAAAGAAAAGAACGGTATTCGTGACTGCAAAGGGAATGGAAATGATGGGGAATTGATGACCTGCCGAGGCTCAATGTGCATATCGATGGATCTGAGTCAGCCCTGGTTGGACAATGGGAATGCTGCTGACCGACTGGCATACATACAAACATACAGAGATCAAAGTAGGTACCTACATTACTTACACTAGCCCGTAAGGTACCTAGGTAGTAGATAAGCAGGATAAGGCCGTAGGTTGTCGGTGTGTCGGTTTCGCCGTCGGGGAGGACTTTAAAGCGGAGAGTCCGCCACGAGGGTAGCCGATTGCAAAAGATCGGATTATGATTGGCCTCCGAATTCCATTGCGCTATCCCATTTGCTGATTTTCAGCACGCCTTGGCGGGCGGTCCCCACGCTTACCTCCGTCTCCTGCCGACTTCACCCAATGTGGGAAGGGAGAGGTGGTTTGTTTCAAATTCCGTCAACCACAGGCTCCGCGAACCTTTTGCCTCCCCCCCTTCGGCCGCTCTCTCTCCGCCATCATCCTTTTTTCTCAACTTCACCGCCCCTCAATCCTCCAACTGCCTGAACACCTTCGCCATCGCCGACCTTTCCTCCTTTCCGAATTACATTCCAACGGGAATCGTCGGTCGCAATAGTATAACACCCACTCGACGCATCCTTTTCCGAGTCCTCCATTTCGATTCGCCTCCCGACGACCGTTCGCGCCATTCGACGGCCCCTCATCAACTTCTGATCTCCGCGCGATTGAACTTTACCATTGTCGGATTCCATCATGTCTTTTTCCAGTCTTGTTCAGGACCTCACTTTGAGGGATTCTGGCGTCCCGCGCCGATCCCGCGGTGATCAATCAGTCTCCACCATGGACGACGGCCGGTCACAAATCTCACGCGCCATGTCCTACGCTAGCACTGCTGCGACGAGCGTCAGCATCTCGGGAGACATCTCGAGCCAGCTGCACGGTGGCTACTTCCATCCCCTTGCCCGCTCGTGGCAAGCGGAGAGGCAATTGACCAAGGTCAGTTTGATTCCTTTGCGGGGAAAATGTCCTTATTGTTGGATAAACACTGACTTCTCCCCCCGCAGTCCATGCTTATCTACCCTCTCTTCGTTTCGGACCAAGACGATGAGGAGGCCTTGATCCCCTCTTTGCCCGGCCAATACCGCCGAGGCATCAACAAAACAATGGCTTACGTGGAGACGCTTGTGCGCAAGGGCCTGCGCTCCGTGATGCTCTTCGGCGTGCCCGTGCGTCCGGGAGTCAAGGACGCTCTCGGCACGGCTGCCGACGACCCCGAGGGGCCCGTCATCAGGAGCATTCGTGCGATACGCCAGCGGTTCCCGCAGCTCTTCATCTGCGCCGACGTTTGTTTGTGCGAGTACACGTCACACGGCCACTGCGGCATCCTCCGCGACGACGGCAGCTTGAACAACCAGCTGTCGGTTGATCGCATCTCGGACGTTGCCATTGCCTACGCCCTAGCCGGGGCTCACTGCGTCGCGCCGTCCGACATGAACGACGGCCGCATCCGTGCAATCAAGCTGAAGTTGATCGAGGAGGGCATCGCGCACAAGACGGTGCTGATGTCGTACTCGGCCAAGTTCTCGGGCTGCTTATACGGACCGTTCCGCGACGCGGCAGGCTCTGCCCCGTCGTTCGGAGACCGCAAGTGCTACCAGCTGCCCCCGGGCGGGCGCGGCCTGGCGCGTCGCGCAATCGTGCGCGACATTGGCGAGGGTGCGGACATCATTATGGTTAAGCCTGCCAGCCAGTACCTCGATATCATCAGCGACGCGAAGGAGCTCGGCAAGGACATGCCCGTCGCTGCCTACCAAGTCAGCGGCGAGTTCGCCATGATCCACGCGGCGGCCAAGTCGGGCGTGTTCGACCTGAAGCAGATGGCGTTCGAGTCGACCGAGGGCATCCTCCGGGCGGGGGCGACAATCGTCATCAGCTACTTCACCCCCGACTTCCTCGACTGGCTCTCAACTTAGACGACGCATGGCATGACGAGATGAAAAGAAAACGTGTTTTGGGCGTTTAGCTATTTTGAAAACGTAGATGAACTCCACGTGGTTCGCATGGTGCTGGGAACGGGAACGGCAGGCGTTGGTTTCGCGCATTTTTTCTTTCTTTTTCTTTTACGGGTTTATACTTTCTTGACGGTTAAGTGTCGTGTAGAGGATACCAAAAAAAAGAAAACTAATGGTACGGGCGAGTAATTTGGCAGACCTATGAGCTGATTTTGGACTACGAACTTGGCAGTGCTCGTGCTTGTGTGTCAGCTCGATGGTCCGTCCTCGTGAACTGGAAGGCCTGAGGGAAACAGCAACGTGTAATGATTATATACTACGTACCTATGTAAAGCGATGATGAACGGCAATGACTCGAAAAGAGGCATCTGTGCGATGTTATATACAGCGGCGGTGAATGATCAGACAAGCTGACGATGATGGTCTGCTAGGAAAACATGTTACAAGAAGGAGAGTCCGAAGGGCTAGCGGAGTCCATGGCGGTTCCCTGGAGCGAGTGGTATGACTCGGGCTTTCGGATGGGATGTTAATCAACAGTTCTCCTGGTTTTGGTTGGGACCAGGAAATAGATAGCTATTCCTGGCCCAAATACTCCGTAGAGCCAAAGCTGCCAGGTCTCACCGGAAACGCCCGACTAAGAGGAGGCAACAAGGACGGGGGCGGCGGCAGTGATGGGCAGGACGCTGCCACTTGGAAACTCTCCTACCTACGTGCTACCTACTAGGGAGGTACACTATGTTGGCATGTCGACGAGAAGTCTATGAGTTGGGAGGAACGAGCAATAGGGGAACGGGTCGGGAGAGTGAGTGGAGGCTCGCCAAGGTTGGGAAAATGGAAGGTTTGGAGATATGAGGAAGGCAGCTGGCAAGCAGGGATGGGCAGGTTTGGCGATGAGTTGCCACGCACTCGACGTGACGGATTCTCCAATCTGGAACATGGCTAGGTAGGTGGTTTCGGCCTGTCCCAGGAAGCAAACTGCCCCTGCACCCCTTAGCTGGGCTCCGCCGCTTGCTGGGGGGGCAGGGGGGGGGGTCCCTGCGCTCCGGGCGTCTCGAGCAGCAGCCACCCCAGTTTGCCAAGTACGGCAGCCGGGCCCACGCGCCGATCCCAACCTTCAAAACCCCTGCCTGCACGGCACCTCGACGTCGCAGCCAGAGTGCGAGAGACAAGAAAAGTGGGTAAACACCGTCCGACGCTCCATTCTTTTCCAGCAAAACACTTGGAAGAACCCCAGCACGGATTACGACTGCTGTAACGGTCAACAGTGGCACTTTCTTCTTTTCCGAGCACCTTGGAGAAACACATAGGTACCGTACCTAGGTAGGTAGGTAGCCCAGATACCTAACTAACTCATGCGCCGAGACCTGCCGTCGGTTAAGTTGCCGTGTCTCTCTGGTTGAACGGTGAGGGATTGGCAGTGGCATTCTCGGCGCCATGAGATCTCGAACGACCTCATTCCTTCGTTGCGTCCTCTCACCATGCAACTTGGGACCCTTTACGATTTATCCCCTTAGCCTGTTATGCCCCCGCCCCCCACATCCAAACACCCCCATTCCATTCGCACATCGCCCATCGCCATCGATCTTGTCTCCGTAAGCGCTAACCAAGCCTCCTCTCCCCTGTATTGCAGTGCCGGCGGAGGGCTAGGTACACTAGTGTAAGGACCAGGGGCGGCTGGGTGGGAGGAAAAGAAACGTCATGGGCGCGGCGACGCGGCAGACTGGTAACACGCCTTTCTGTACTGTACGCAAGCCCTCCTGAATGGGGAAACTGAGGTACAGTACAGAAGGTCGACGGCTTCATTGGCATGAGCCGATAATGGTTGGTTTCGCGAGCTCCGTCCCGAGAGACCTGAGCATGAGCAGGTGCGTATCTACGGACCCTCTTGTGTGGCTGGCGTATCTCAAACAGCCATCATTGTCCACGTCTGGTCATATTACCAACTTCCATGGGAAATTTGATTTTCAGAGTCGGTCATTTTGTGTAGGCCTAGTGCACACAGTCCGTCGCGCCTAAGCACGCTAAGTTGTGTCCGGTCCCATTTCGTACCTCATCTATTGTGAAACTACCACGCCATCCCGCTCCCCTCAAAGCCGCCGGCCCGACCAAAACATGTAATGTTTCCTCGGGCAATTGGTCTGTTGAGGTGTACGCCCTGAAGTTTCGCCGTCCAGACTTGACCCGCGGTCGCTAGGTACAATGGTACCAGGCCGAAGTTAAATACCCCGGTTAGGTAACTAATGTTCCACCCCCCTACTACAGAACCTTACTTTTGGTGAATATTCCCCCTCTATCATGATGTTAGTTATGGGGGGTAACATCATAGGGGTATTTTACTTACCCCTGCCACCCTGTACTTGCTATTCTCACCTTGCCCCCCCCTTCGCCTCATGCATCACACCTTCACTTCTTCGGTTGTCCTCCGACCTGCTCCCCATTGTTTCATCTCTCCTCTCGGCCACCACCCTCATTGGACTATCAGACGGGCCGTGCATAGTCACCATCGTTGGGACACACGTCCCAAGTCAAACATTGACATACTCTGCCGCGCAACAGCTCCATCGTCAAGAGTCGTGCACAGCCAGAACGCCCCTTTCGTGTTTCTGGCTCATGACATATGCGCCTCGGCTACTTTTCATTTTGTTTATCTTCCTTTTTGGGTGGGGGGGCTTTCCGCTCCCACCTTGTGTCTTTGACCTGGGGAGGACGGAGGGAGGTTCATAATCTCTCCTCGGGTTTTTCTTTTTGACTTTGTGTCAAATATTAGACAGGCGGGAGCGAATAATTAGACTTTCCGAATACACGCTCAGAATTGACGACCACGCAGCTACATATCCAGCTCTTGGACATAGCATTACGCAAAACCCCGAGTTCCAATACAGAGGACAGATATATTAGGAGAGGGCCTTGCTGCATTTTGTACTTGGCGCAGGTGTGCGTTGCAACGCTGTACCTGCTTTTGGTGGTACCTACATCCCTCACCTCACCCATCCCCCGTCATAGCTGCTGCACTTACACCATTCCACGCTGCTACCCTGAAACAGGCAGTATCCATAAACCCACACCGCTGACGCCGGCGCCGGGACGCTCTCCTCTCGCTCTCACCCTCAACTATTTCCTTCTCTGCTTTGTGGTATCTGCTAATGATACTTTCTTTGACATCCTGCCTTCTCCAAGCCCCACTACCTGCATAACTGCCTCTACTCCGTATACACTACCACATACACTACATACCTAGCTTTCTCTTGCGCTCCTTCCGGCCACAAATCTCAGCAGGACCCTTTTGTTTTTGCTGTTTTGCCTGTTTACATTCTCCACAGTCTTTCCCTTGCGCGGCCCACGCTCCTGCTTCAGCGCCGAGGCATCCCGGTTGCTGCGTTCAAGGTTCTGCTTTGAGCCCACATCAAGGTCCCGGTCCAGGTCACGGCCTCGTTAACGAGACGAGGCAAGAAACGCCCATCCCCCAACCCAGCACATCCTCCGTCCCCCCAGGGCCTATTTTCTTTTCTTCCAAATTACATTAACCTTCCCTTGCCGTACCTCCTTTCCTACCCTCCATTTGCCCCTCTCACTTGCAGATCCGGATCGTCTGAATAATAAGGGCCTCCGAATCAAAACCACCACTTCCCTCCTCCACGCCCCCCTCCCCCCCCCCCTTTTCTTATCACCCGACTCTCTTTGGCCGCTATCTCGTCATAAGCTCTACGTGCTAGCAACCTGGGCTTTTCGGCCACGAGAGTCCTCTTATACCCACCGCTTTGACAGACACACACACACACACACTCTCTCTCTCTCTCTCACACACACATACGACACATACGACACATACCGGACTCCATTGCAGGACAATGAACGGACACGCTACTTCCAAGGTGTCCCTGTCACACGAAGAGGGCATGAGTCTTTTAGACGAGAAGACGTTATCCGACGTCGAGAGCGAGAGCGGTAGGGTCGACCTCGAATCCCGCTTCGCGATACCACGATGGTCCTCGGTTGCACGGGGTGTCGTGGGCTATGCCCGGGCCGTACCATGGCGTGTTACGGTAATTCGCGGCCTCATCTTCCTACTTCCTAGCTTCGTCCAGAGCCGATTCTCAAGAGAACGAGGTCGAGCCGAGAAGCTGTTCCCGACTTCCCACCTCGACGGTATGCGTGGAGTGGCCGCACTCTTCGTTTTCTTTTGTCACTACTTTTACCAGGCCTTCATCATCGCCGAGGGTTGGGGTTCGTCGGAAAAGAACTACCACGTCCTCAAGATGCCGTTCCTCCGACTCTTTTATCAAGGTCCGCCTGCCGTGTGCCTGTTTTTCGTCATTTCCGGTTACGCCTTGTCCATGAAACCTATCAAGCTTGCGCGCGCTCGAAACTTTGACGAGTTCTCTGCCACGACGACGTCGTTGATCTTCCGCAGATTCATCAGACTCTACTTGCCAACCGCCATCTCCACCTTTGGTATCATGATGCTGCTGCAATTGGGTGTTTACGAGTGGACCAGAGACTTCGCCACCGACAAGACCTATCACAAGAATGTCATGGAGCCTCACCCGAAGCCTCTGGACACCTTCTCGGAGCAGCTGACGGACTGGGCGTGGAGCATGTTCAACTTCGTCCACGTATTTGGCTGGGAGAAGTTTGGCGGAAGCACATGTAAGTGGCCGTGCTGGGTCCCTTTTCAGCCGCAAACTAACATTGACCAGCGTACGACGTGCACCTATGGACCATCCCAGTCGAGTTCCGCTGTTCCATGTACTTGTTTATCACGCTCATCGGCCTGGCTCGCGTTCGGACCGGGCTCCGCTTCCTCTTTCTCTGGGGCATCATCGCATTCACCTACCGCAACAACCGCTGGGAGCTGCTGCTCTTCTACTTTGGGATGATGCTTGCAGAATATGACCAGATCATGGGCAACAACACCCCCGTCGGCGGCTCCATTCTCCCCACCAACGAGGCCCAGCCGAACAAGAAGCTCTTCAAGGGCTTCTGCTGGGCGATGCTTAGCATTCTATCCATTTACTTCATGTGCCAGCCGGACATCAACTACGAAATCACCCCCGGCTGGGTCTGGCTTTGCTCCTTCATTCCCAAGTGGTGGGATGCCGAAGGCTACCGATTTTGGCAATCCATCGGGGCTGTCTTGTTCGTCCTTTGCGTCAGCCACTCGCCGAGATGGAAGAGCTTCTTCAACCTGGCTCCGATCCAGTACCTCGGAAAGATTAGCTACGCCCTCTACCTCATGCACGGCCCGGTGATGCACACCGTCGGCTACATGATTGAGAAGCGGGCTTACGCCGTGACGGGAACCGAAGGATGGTGGTACAACACGGGCTTCGTGTTGGGATCCTTGGGGTGCATTCCCGCTGTGATCTGGGCGGCAGACGTCTTCTGGAGACTCTTCGACATTCCGACGGTGCGATTTGCAAAGTGGTTGGAGACAAAGTGCTCCATCAAACAACAATAGTGGGCCGAAGCGATGCTTGCGATGGCAGATGTTGCTGTGGCAAAGACTCACCACATCAGACCTAGGGCTCGGGAAAGTCGTTACGGAAAGCGACTGATAATAGCATGACACGGCGTTTTTATTTCATCACACGGCATTATCACTATATACCTGGCGTCGATATTTTTTTTTATAGGGAGAGAGGGATCATCGGGCTATCGGGGCCATTGTTATGGCAAATTGCATCTCTCAGGACCACAGAGATGGGTTGAAGAAAGTACAGAACACTACACAGAGATGTAGAAGGAGAGCGTGTGACGTCACAAATGAGGTAGAAATAACTACCCAAAGGGTATCAATTTGATTCCGTCCTTGAACCTGAAGCTCTAACCTCGGAGCTGTCCGAGTTTGACTTTTTGCTTCCTGTCTAATATTGTTGTTCAACGTCTATTTCCCGACGAACCCCGCCACACTAGCCAATCATGCTCCTCTTGCGACCCCGCATCCTGACGTCCTCGAGCTTCTTGAGCGTGACGGGCGCCTGCTTGTAAGACGTGCGGTAGGCGTCGAGGACGTCGCGGAAGTAGGCCTCGGCGCGGGGGTGGGTGCTGCCGAAGGCGCGCTCGAGGACGTACAGATCGACGGCGCGGTCCTCGTCCGAGGTGCTCTGGCTGGCGAGGCCGAAGTCGATGATGAAGACGTCGCCGTCGACGACAGAGGAGGAGGAGGAGGAGGAGGCGGTTGGGTTCGGGTTCGGGTTCGGGGCTGCGGTGCCGGGGGCCGGTTTTGGCGGCCGGAGCATCATGTTGGAGGTGGTGAGGTCGCCGTGGACGACGCCGATCTTGTGCATCCTGCCTATGGCGGCGCCGATGCGGCGCATGAGGTCCCTCAAGTCCGCCACGTCCCGCCCGCCCGCGTCTCCTGCCGGCGTCCTGTGTTCGGCGTCCGGCCGCCTCGCGCGGTCGTCGGCGTACGCCATATATCCGCGTACGGATTTGTAGCAGGGTTGTTGTTTACATAAAGTACGTACTGGTACGTAAGAGGTCGAGCAGCTCCATAAAAGTTGACGAGAAAGTGCTAGAGATACTTGAAGGTCCTTTTCTACGTTTTTCTGCGGTCCCCCTAAACTTATATTGCGCACCGATTGCGAGTCAGC